TATATATATATATATACATATATATATACATACATATATATATATATATACATATATATATACATACATATATATATATATATATACATATATATATACATACATATATATATATACATATATATATACATACATATATATATATATATATATATATATATTTATGTATATATAACTAACTAACTAACCGCACGGACGTATTTATAGAGGGGATTGAAAGAGGGGAAGAAGAAAGGCTCAAAGAAACCTCTCAATCCTTCTCCTCGTTCCACTCCGCTCTCTATATCTCGCGCCTCGGTAGCTCTTCATATCCTTCCTCGATCCGCTCATCGCTCTCTTGCCGTGCTTCTCTTTCTTTATATTCTTCTTGGATGTAGATAGAGGGTTTGATTGACAAATCTGGTTGGCATACGTAGAGGAGGAGGAGGAGGAGGAGGAGGGGGAGGGGGAGGGGGGAGGAGGTCGGTGGGGTTGGAATGTTGCAGCTGCTGTTCGCGTTGGGGTTCTCGGTGGTGCCGCTGACGCTGTACGTGCCGCCGATTCGGAGCCTGAACCGGTTCTTGGCGGCGATGGAGGCGTTCGCCGAAGAGGCCGCCGCGTACTCGCAGCGGGCGTACCCGATGCTCCGGCTCGGCCTCCGTCGCATCTTCGCCGTCGCTTCCCGCTCCTTCAGGTAGATCCCACCCATACGTCTGAGATTTCTCTTCTCCTCCTCCTCCTCCTCCGTCTTTCTGTTTTTGTTTTCGATTGCGGGAGGGTTGTGGCCAAGAAATAATTCGCATGGTGGTGACAATTCCTTTGGCAAAAGGATTTGTCCCCAACTAATGTGTATGTCGTGGTTTGATGCAGTGAAAGATTATTCTTTCTTATGGGCAAAATGATTTTTATTAGAATTTGGCAATGAGATTGGGAAAGAAATATGCACTTATATATTTAGTTGATATAAGTGCAATGTGTTTGCCATTCTCATATCCTAAATTACATCTTCTTGAACTTGAGAATGGGGTAAGAAATGAAGGCAGTGATGATTTCTTGAGGGGTTAGAAATTAAATCTGATGTTCTAATCATAGAAAGGTTATTACAGACCAATTTAAATCAAGTCTTTCTATTAAGTTGCAATAGTCCTCAGATTGGAGTCTTGTTTAGTTCATCAAGATCTGTCGAGAAATGTTCAAAACATTTTAGGTGGGTGTGGAGATGCTCTGTAGTCTGCATTATTTATGTTGACCAGCTTCATGTTTTGACTGGTTGTTGAGTTGGTGTCAATCATAACGAGTGCCAAATTACAACAAGTAATCTCGATCGATCTTTCATCGAACATTTTCGGATTGTCTCAGATGATTTAAAGTATGTTCTTATTCGTTTTCTTCGTGTTCTTGCGTATAGTGGTTGAATCTATAGTTTGTTTCCATTAGCTCTCACCAGTGCGTACTTAAACTTACTGTTCTCCTATTAGGCAACACCAATTGTAGGATGTGGTATTTTGCCATGATCTAATGATCCCAGTGTTTGATGATCGAGTGTAAACCCACAGAAGTTGGCTGCAGGAACACCGAAATTACGGTGGTTCTGATGATCCAACCAATTATTGTTTTCGGTGTCTTCGTTTACATTACCAACTTCTTCTTCTTCTTCTTCTTCTTCCCCGTCGTAGAAGATATCAAAGTCACATGAGAATATGATATTAGAGCAACCAACGGCCGACTCCTCGGTGGGGTCTCAGAGGTCCCATATGGATATAGGATAGCCCGCTTGCTGCTGCTGCACATCGTCGTCGAGCTGCCACCTGCCGTCTTCCATCAACAGCGTGTCCCAGTTGAAGTCGTCGCTCGGGTGCGATCCGATGGCCATTTCATCCGTCTCCTCCCGCGTCGCCTTGCTCTCCGGCTTCAGCACTCCCAGCTGCTGGAGGAACTCCTTGAGATCTATCTGAGGCTTCTCCACCGCTCCGACAGCGGAGCTCGGAGGCAAGGCGAAGGAGGAAGAGGAACAACGAGGCGGCGGCGGCGGCTTGGGGTTGTTGAGCTCTTGAAGCCTCTGGTGGATGGCGTGGATGTTGTGCTGGGCGTTGAGGTTGAGGAGGCCGCAGGCGGGCATCACGGACGCGTCCCTCTCGGAGGGAAACCACTCGAACCTTACGGGGGGCTTGCCGCCGTGGGCGCGGAGGTGGGGAAGGTTGAGGTAGGCGTCGGGGCCGTAGAGGCGGCGGGCAGCCTCGTCGTAGGCCAAAGCCGCCTCCTCGGCGGTGGGGAAGGAGCCGAGCCAGAGGCGGGTCCGCTTCCTGGGCTCCCGGATCTCGGCCACCCACTTGCCCCACGTCCGCTGCCGTACTCCGCGGTATTGGCAGGAGGCGTTCTGGGGGCCGCCTTTGCCGCGGGCGGGGCCCTTCTTCCACGACCGGAGGGATGCCTTTCGGAGGTGGTTGTCCATGGAGGAGGAGAGGAGAGCGGGGATGGAGTGGAGTGGAGAGTGTGTGAGGCGCGGGATACGTATAACGAGAGAGAGCTGCACGCGATGGATGCATGGCTTAAATGTTGTCACGGTTTGGAGTAGGGTTTTAGGAAGGCATGTAACGTCTACCTGACGATAGATACATTTTGAAGCCGAAAAGAGCCTTTCACTCGATGGTGGTTAGCGAGTGCTACGTACGATTCAATAATTAAGATGGGGAAATAATATCCATCCATCCATCCATCCATTCAATAACTACTACTACATCTATGTACAACAAAATGAAGGATATTTTGAAACTCTGAGCACAATGGACGTCAATGGATGTCAAGTCACGCTACAGCCGCAAATTTATCAGCAGCACTCGAAGTCGATGGGTTGGTGTCTCCAAACTTACCTAATCAATCATACAAAAAAAAGGTGAATTTGTAGGAAATTTACGTCTAAACTGTAGTAGTAGACAACTAAGCATTCTGTAAAAATGTGTCTTATAGCAAAGCTTATGACTTTGTAAGTACAAAATGCAACAGGCAGTGAGTTAACATGGGAATGCACAGAACATGTTCCATCATCAACTCCAACAATTACACAGCTACTGAACAGGTCCAAGAGGTGACAAATCATGCTTTATCTTCTTTGTAACAGTTGTAATACACCACAAATGGACAGATCTACAAATACTACTACTGAGTACCATTACCTTTATTCCCTCTCCTTCTGCTGCGCCATAAAAGTCGAATAGGCGTACCAGGAAAACCTGCATCCTTCCTTAGCTGTTTTTCCATGTAGCGCCGGTAGGTTTCTGGAAAAAGCTTTGCATCATTGACGAAGAAAACAAAGGTAGGCGGTCGTATAGCAGCCTGCAAGTGTAAAAATTGCACAATTTTTAAACGAAAATAAAAAAAAGGAAATAAGGTCCATGAATGCTTATTATATAAGTGGATTTCTGACTGCCCAGAGAGTGTACCTGAGTGCTGTAGTAAACACGCCCTCGTTTGCCACCTCTTGTTCTTGGCGGTGGTTTGAAGGCCAGAGCTTCCTGCACCACCTGATTAAGGATTGAGGTACCTAACCTTCTAGATCGCTCCTTTTCAACCATGCCAACATCAGCAATTATCCTGCAGAGTGATGGTAAGCCAAAGAAGAATACAAAAAATTAGTATTTTACCATTTACTTCTAAAGAAATTAGTATTTTAGAATATTTCCCATGCATCTTTGGAATTATTCTTTTGTGATCATCTAATAAAATTTTTATGATCCTACCTTATGGAGCAATCGTGTTGAGGCTCCTATTTTGGCCAAATATGATTTACAAAATTTATTTAGCTATTAGGACATTAGTTTAAAGAGTCCTAGGAGTCTCCCGCATGGGATCTCATGGGATGACAAATTTTCCATAGAAAAGGTCCTGCAGTTTAAAGTTTTTATCTGAAGACAAACTTTCAACTTACAAGTCCAATCTCCCTCCCTCTATAATCTTACAGCTCCTCAAAGCTTTCACTCTCCTACAGAAGTGAGGATACCCATCTCTGTGAAAAATGAAGTCCTCTGCTTGGACTAAAACTACTATTTGAAAGAACTTTTTTTAAAGAAACTTAATCCAATATGTAAAATTAGCTCCATTGCTCCTGAGAAGAAGTAAACATGCAGTAAATTGAAGCTCAAAACATACACTTCAGTAGACTACCAAATTAAAAAATAAATAGTGTACCAAAGAGATCAGATATATACTTATCCACACTGTGGCCGCTAATTGCAGTCGAATAGACAATTGGTGCCCAATCAAGAAATCGGACCTTTTCCCTTACATCTTGGTCATAGTATGTTGTTGTCTGTTGATTCTTGTTTGGTATTGTGTCCCATTTGTTTACAACAATGACACAACCTTTTCCTTCTTTCTCAATTCTTTCAGCAATCCTGACGTCCTTCGCAAAAGCAACAAAGAGGTAAGCATGAAAATTTTCAATAACACAAACCAATAAAATGATGACAGAAACTCCGAATCACAACATAGCACTGAATATTCAGTAACAGAGAAAAGGAAGATAATTGCAATAGTGGCCTTATGAAGTACCATAATTGATCTCGTCAAGATCCAATAATCCTTTATATATAAATTATGAAAAAGATCAGAAATGTTCATGCCCTAAACAATTAATTAAGACAAGGACTTGGGAGCAAAGCAAGTCCATATAATACAGATTTGTCCTTTATATAGACTAAAAATGGACATAGCTGTTTCCTGGCCATGCTACATATTATTCTTTAACTCAAAGTTGTAGGGAGAAATGTGTTTCCAGCTTGAAGCTTTTGATGGAATTCCCTCGAAAGAAAACTAGACACTAGGCTTTAAACCTGAGCACCTCTAACATCCGTAGCTTTGTGGAATGTCTTGCTTACTGACCCTTGTATTATCATTTGCAACTGTTAAATTCTTGGTTATGTTTGATAAATTTTCTAAATTTCAAAACTAAATGAGGTCAATTACATGTTTATGGTTTACTTATGGTCCAACTAGTCACCACAATTCCAAGCAAGAAGCAACTGAAGTCTCTTAAATAACTTGTACGCAAATTTCCTCATGTTTCCCTACTTTTCTCCCTTGCATTCTATTCTCATTTTGTACTCTGCAATAATGTTTCTTAGATCCCATGGATTAATAGATTGCATGGTTAAACCTTGAATGTACACTCCATGATTATTTCAGTTGGAAGCAGCTTCAACTCTTTGGTTCTCAAAAGAAAAAAAATCCAACTATCGTTCAAGATATACTCTTAAAAAGTATTTACTTGAAAAAGAGTTGATAACTGTTGCATGACCAACATAATTTTGAACCTTAGAACCCAGTTCAACTAGCATGAATCTTTTAAATATTGTTACGGGTCCTTCAAGAACCAGAATCAAGAAGATCTAAAAGAGACCAGCCATTATATGAGGTTATCTCCAGTTCTCCACTGTAAAATTCAGGTAGTGTAAAGTTTATGCAGCCTTGCCTTGCAGATACTGGGAGCCAATTTAATGATCCAAATCTGTGAGTGCTCAGGTCCTAATGCAGCAATCTTACTATTGCACCAAGGCCCTATGAAATGACCACCTCATCATTCTTCAGCAGTCTAATGGACCAACTGCAATAAGCAGATTCTGAAGCAAGAACCAACATGGGTTTATCTGTGCACTACAATTTTCCTTAAAAGTCAACAAGGCATGTATAGAGCACACAACATCTCAGGCATATCAATGTTACTAGTCCATACTAAATATTCATCTAATTGTCCCATAAGATCACTGCCAAAGCATTTTCCATCAATATGATCCCAGCTTAAAAAAATTACTCCTAATCATGAAGACTTTAATGGGCAAATTGAAAACAAATTCTTCGGTATGTTGTCTTCAACCTTCTCCGAAGTTATCACAGATTCCCACCAGAAATAAACATCAAATGTAGAGGAAGCATAATAAATCATCTTTTGAGTAGTAGACTTGTACAAAATCAACCATTTGTTTGCACTATAAGCTTATGGATCAAGTAACAACCTTCTAAAATTTTTCTTAAAATCAAAAAAGCAAAAAATATTATAGGCAACAGCCTAGAAGCCTAAAAGCCGTTGGAAAATTTACTAGCACATATAATTGAAAACATTTTTTTAATAACTCCCATGGTTTAATAACTCCAAATTACCTTATATTCTTGTCACATTTTTTTAATGAGACACACCAAGGTAAAGCACAATGCACACCACTCTGTTTCCATGAAAAAGTGACCTGAGATCATATTACCAACTTCCACTATCACTTCACCTTGATAGTAACTGAAATAGTTCTTAAATTGCAAAGATTTGCATGGACACATACACACTGCCTTCAAACCAATAAAATTAATCTGGATAAAACTGATCCATCCATGAAATTCACAAGACAACCAAGTTACGAAGAGCATAGAGTTAAAAAGAAATACCTGTTCTGTAATACAAGCCATGGCTTCAATAACAAGAGCTACCACATCTGACCGACAGATGGCTCGCAATGCCCGATTTACTGATAATACCTCAGTAGTGCTACCAGCAGATGCTACTGCTGCTCTTTTTCGGATGCCAGCTGTGTCAATGAGCCTGTACTTCTGCAAAACCATGTTAAGTTACTTTTTATGCAGTGGTATGATAGAATTTTGGCTATTCAATAAAGCATACTCTAATACAACAGTCAGCATTTCATGTTCCTCTTTCCATTTGATAATGTCAGCCTCTAAAATACACTGATAGTTTCCAGTTCATCACTAGTCAAAAGAAAGAAAAATCTTTCTTACAAATAATACTATCGACTGTAAGCAAGAATCTTAAAATAAGTGTAGTATGTCTAAATATGATAAGATTTAAGTTACAAGGTCAACTTAATCAAAGCGAGATACAGGCATGCACATTCAAACGTGAAAAGACTAATACTCCGTTGCTATAATTCAGCTTCAGTCCACTGTGTGAGCAAGTAAAGATCAAGTACAACAAAAATCAGGACGATCAATAGATACTGTCCATGTCAAATATAAAAAACAAACTTTACAACATAACAATACCAAGATTTATGAGATAAAAATATCAGCAAACATCAATAGTTATAAAAACGAATCAACTAATTATTATGTTTGAATTACTATTGACAAACATCAATAGGTGTGCACCTGAGACATGAAAGACTAATATATCAAATTACCAGTGCCATAGTGCAGCTCTCAATCCATTGTGTCCACAGCTAAAAGTCAAGTACAAATACTAGCTGCTAGCAACTAATAAAGTTCAATAAAACATTTAACAAACAAACCTGTCCATCTGGTCCAGTAATTTCAGTATCTATAGCATCACGTGTTGTCCCACTGATTGGGCTAACAATTGTTCTATCCTCCCCGACCAATGCATTTAATATGCTACTTTTCCCAACATTTGGTCTACCAACAATAGCAATAGAAGGAATGTAGTTTTCTTCTTCTTCATTGCTGTCTGAGGCCTGCAGAGAAAGATTCATTTATACCTATCAGCTGAACAAATCAAAGGTAACTGGACTGCATACGTTATGCAGTTCAACAAAAGAACTAATATAATACAAAAGGGATGGAAATTCCATTCAGAATCAATTACCAACAAAAATTCACCTACCCTTGTCACCTCCAAGGTATCTTATTTAACCATGTCCAATCATGAATACAATAGTGCAATCTTTCCTATAAATCAGCTTAGGTCCAAAGTAATCAATATTGTTTATGCATAAATAGATTTAAATTTTTTCACTCAATGTTCTCCATATGTGACATGTATACATGCATTCATCATTAAGTGCACCAATAATCATGTCTATTGCTCCAAAAGTGAAAGAATTAGGAAAATAATATATTGATTTAAGATACAATTAGGAAAATAATATTATGTAGCACAATTAGATTTATAATCATTAGCTAAAATAATGTACCTCAATAGCTTTCAGTTCTGAACAGACAAGATCAAGGAGCTCCCCAGTTCCAGTGCCGGAAATGGCTGATATTGGCAAAGGAGAAAACCTAATTGATAACCCAAAAGGATGAGCACATGAAACTAAAAGTAGGAACAAATTGTTATTAGTAAAACATTGCAAAAGAAAGAATAGGCCTGCTTTATTCATTAGCTATGTGCAAACTTCATGAAAAGTAAGCAGAACAAGAAGAATAAGATTGTGAAGATACCTAGTTTTCTAGGCATGAGATTCAAGGATTAATGAGTGCACTAAAACAAGAAACAAAGTAAAGGGAGATGATGAAAACTGGAGTTTCAAGATAATAGAGTTTCCTCCAAATCATAAAATGCAATCCGTAAGTCACAGGATGCAATCCTTCAGTCGAGTCAATTGGAATCATCAAGGAATAGGTTTCACTTCCAACCGAGTTCCTTTTCAGCTTTTAGAAAGAAGTCACCAAGTTTAGGGGCTGATTGCAAGTATCAGTTACTACCCGAGCATTTATTTTTCTGCTTCAGCTATTGACAGGCTTAACAGCCCGTCGTTTAGTGTTTCCATGAAGAATGGATTACATAGGCTAATTGGTCTAGAGATATGGATTTCCAAGATGAATTAAATCTGCAAATGTTTGGGATTGAGAACTCGATTTGCTTAAACTTAGAATAGCAATCTTGCAAGAAAACAATAGGGGTATGTAGGATAGCTAGTTAGAGTTCAATGATGATAGGTTATGGTCTATATGGTTACTGTAAATTCTAATAAAAAAATGTTCGGATAAAGGAAACATGCAGATTATTTAGATTTCAGCTATTAAAAAAAATTAGAGTAAACAAGAAAGCAGTAACAGGACAGACAACAAAAGAAAAGGGAAGTACTGGAGTTACTAGGGTTCTAGTAATCACTCTCATAAATGAAGGCTTTCCACCTCATGTATTGCACAAGTGAAAAAACTAATAATTGTCATAATGTGGCATCAGTACATGACACCTTTCTACTAGGATATGATTCCATCTCATGCTAAATAGCCATGCCCATATGCCAGTTAGCACATGACAAAAAAAGTGTCCTAGCCACATGTTGGTACATCTGACATGGGCATGCAAGATGCATGCCAATACCCTTCAAACACAGTATTTTTAGTGTATGCTGACATGTGCCATTAGAATAACAATATTGATTTCCAGAAGATCATATGATACCATTTCTTGAATTCAGTAACCATAGAATTCTGCTATACAAATGGTTATTTCATTCTCATAGGACATCTTATCAAAACAAAGAGCAGAAATGATGATGAATCTTACCCTAAGGACCAAAATTCTGATGCTTGCATCAGTCCCTTGTGTGGAGATTCACATTTATTTACGGCAAGGATAACACACTTATCCGAGTAATTTTTACGCAACCAGTCAGCAATTTCCATATCAGCTGCTACGAGGCCAGCCTGTTTATTACAGCAAAAGAGCCTCAGTGAATGATAAAACAATCATCCACGCTGTAAATAAACTTCTTGAAACAGTCGAACATGATTCAAGAAGTATATACCATCATGTTTATCTAAACTTCAAAACTTAAAGGATCAAGGATCTCCGAAGGGCATAAGAACACGAGAGGAAGTTGCATTTCCAGAGGACATAACAACCTCATAAATGCCCTCCAAGTCTCACCACCAACAATAAATAAACTCTAATACAGATATCAACATGCGCACTTCACTCTCAAATAATAAGAGATCAAATCTAAATTTGCTTTACATGAGGTGTCTGTGCCAGAATTTGGTGGCAACTTGGTTATGGTTTACATAATATTCTGGACAGATAGACCGCTACAAATTCTGTCAGAATTCGTATGAATTAGTATAGATTCATACTAATCTATAGATTCGTATGAATAAACTAATGAACTGGAATATAACAAATTCTCTGTGGTAATTTGAGAGTTGATATAGAGTCAGAAGAACTGAGATAATTTGCTTGCAAAAAACACAGTGAAAGCAAAAAAACATCTAGAGAAACTGAAGATGCACAAACCTTGTTGCCAAAAACGAAAAGCACAATACTATTATTTTAGATAAAGGATTAAAGAAAATATTTTAAACAATAAAAGAACTAGGAGAGAATCAAAATGTTAAAACTTCTATAAACATAATGAATTTTTTGTATGGAAACATTTAAAGAAACAAGAAGAATTAAGGATAACACATGGAGGCTAGGGATACAACGAAAGCATGAAAATTGACAAAATATCTACAAAGAAATATTATCATTTAGGAATGAGTTAAAAATGTTGAAGACAAAGTTTCTTTTTCAGTCACCAAAATTTTGTTTGGTTTCCCTGGAAAATGTGATTATTTCATCAAATGCAGGTCTTTTAGTTGCCTATTTTTAGTCTCGCTTCTATTCGCTTGGAGAAAATTTAGGGCCATGGTGACCATTTTTCCTGTCAAACTGAACCACAACCTGATCCGGCTCTTCCTTAAAACAAAATCCCTGATCCACCATTTTTCTGGATTTTTGTTCAGAGCTGCAAGGATTACTAGGCCTTCACGCCACCTCCACCAAATTCATGGCCTAGTCTCACCACAACTTTGGAGATGCCCATAGGATGTCAAGGAGAAGGGCAAGGTAGAAAAGAGAATGTTGTTCCAAAAAGCTTTAAAACCCCAACAAATTGACATGTCATGCCATCATCAAGCACTGTGCCAAACACTGGTGGAGACTATACATTTTTTTGAGAATTGAAACTTGCTTCCAACTAAAACCAAACCCTCCTGATACCTGGTTTGACCAACATAGCCCTTTCCCTGTCCTCCTGCCACGCATTCCTACCAACACTTCCACTCAAACACCTTATTAGATGAATAAGCCGCAGTCACGAATGCAACACCAAAAAAAATTAGATGCAAGTTCTCATTGGCAAATTCAAACAGCCACTTGATCAAATCTTAGAAAGTTGATTATACAAATATGTACAAGTCCAGACTTTTCATTCACGTCAAGTTGAAACATGAAAGTTCCAGTTAGGTCTAATTGGACAACAGTAGTCAAGGTCTTGTACCTCTTCTGCCTCCCTGACATGCCACACCATGTTACAATGTTAACACTCAGTAAGCCCTCACTTGAGTAGATCAAGTTATCAACTTCACAAAAGTAAATAATTGTCACTATATGCTTGAACAAATTTTTAAAATGTCCTCAGTTCATTCTACCGTTTCATCTTGATGACAGACATCAAATAATCATGCATCTCCTGCAATCTTGGTAGGATACACCATTTGAGTGGGTTAATTTGGACATGCAGCTTTAGTTCCATACAACAAACAAAGGAAACATTCATTGCTAGTGGGAATCATACAGGTCAGTGTTCAGAGTAACCAATTTTCCATATAGGAAGGTATCAATTGTAGACAAGAAAATGTCAGACTATAAAACTAAGGAATTATAACTCCCTGTAGCTCTTCAGGGAGTTATGGTTCCTTGATGTTGTACAGGCTGCAATTGGGTAAAGTTCCCTGATGTTGTACAGAACAAAGCATGTAATGGAAGATACTTTCCGTTCCTTTCTTATTTGGTGAAAGAAGAAAATGGGGCAGAGACATGAGAACGTGGCAAGCATAGTTTGACGCTTCAGGTTCCAGACCCCTGCTGGTTTACAGCTGGACCAGTACAAATCTAGTAGTACATGGCAGCGTCCCGACACACAGAATGTTGGTCAGTGCAGCAGAACTATTTTGTTAAGAGTTGAGTATCCACGGTGTTGAGAGGCATGTGGTGCTGTCTGTGCTGCCAATCCGACAGGCCATCAGACTGGGGATACATACCAGTCCAACAAAACATAGGACCATGGGACCAGTTACTTTCTCTTTCTTTGCAAAACAAGAAGTGAAGAGCACAAAAGACATGGGACTGGCTTTTTCAATGAACTATGCACAGGTTCTCCAGTCAATCAGAAAAAAAAGTATGGTGATGAACATTAAAATAAGAAATAAAAGATATCCATCGAGCACTAAGTCAAATATAGCTAACCTGGCCATCAACAAGAAATATTAACACAGCTGCTTCCTCCACTGCAGCAGTTGCTTGTCTCTCAATCATGGAGGGCATCCTAGCAACAGCTGCTTCCCTAACAGTAAGAGGAATCCCATCCATACCAACAGTGGTAGTAATTGCAAGTTCTTCCATAACATCAATCTGTGATCTGGAAAAGGTCATAACTCCACCAGTATCCACTACCATAAACTCATGGTCCCCCCAAAAGGATCTTCCATATAAACGATCTCTGGTAACCCCCGGTTCATCAACAACAATTGCCCTGTTCCCCTGTCAAAATCTCTATGATATCACTACAACTAAACCCAATCCCTACAAGAAACAATATATAATTAAATGTGCTTGACAACTGAGCTTGCTGGAGTAAATGAATTGGAAGTACCCCCACAAGCCGATTGAATAATGCTGATTTACCGACATTTGGCCTTCCAACAATAGTTACTCTTGGAAGAAGATGGTCTGGAATCTGGATTGAAGATAGTAGAAGAATCATTATAAAGCATGCCTTCATCCATGTGTTTTTTTTATGATAAAGGGATAATCATGAAAAAACAGGAACCACATAAAGAAAAGAGCGCAGGAAGTTATTCCTATGAAAAAGTTTTTCTAAGAAACAAGCTGAAGGTATCAACATAGTTAAGCTAAGGCTTTGATTAAATAATGACATGGAGTTTTCAGTAGACTACTAGATATAAAGTCAAAAATTACTTTGTAATGTGCATTTATATAGATATAATAGTTCCTAAAATGTAAACTTTTTTAGCACTAGGCATTTCAGGTAAGGCAGTAAGTCTAAGTCAACTGCCGGCTCAGCACGTATCAGTTGATATACTCCATACAAGCCCAAGACTCTGAAATTTGAATCCACACCTCAGGTATGTTATTAAAGTATGACTCATTGGCATCAGAGAAAACACATTCAAAACTCTTAAAATCCCACCAAAACCTTTTTGGCTGTATGACTTTCATTAATTAGAAAAACCTTTTTTCAACTCCAATGAAAAAAAGAAAGATACTTAAGCAATGTCATGTATATACTTAATCTTTGAAATATTATCTAAACATTGTATTTTTAGTTTCATTATATGTGAATATTTTTTTGTTTATTTAGTTCTCTTTTTTAGTCAATTATATGTTATTGTCATGTATATACTTACTCTTTGCAACTATGTCATTTCTAAATAAAATACATGACTGGCGCACATTATAAAATTACTAAAATATGCATAGGTTAAATTAAGTTTCACTTGTATGATTGCATCTCAACTAATATCTCATATGTATATAATTCCTCGTCCATTCCTGGAAAGATACCATATACAGTATATATTATATTGATAAGTAGTGCAACTGCATAAAAGTTTTTTTTTTTCGGTTTCAAGTTTTAACTACCTACCGTTCAGATATCATGGACCAGGGAAAAACAATAGAAATGCATCGGCACCTACAAGTGTGTATATATCTATGTTATATAAAATATTATCTTTTTTACATAAAATATAAACTTAATTACTTGTGGATGTTCCTCTTTATCTGATGCACTATCCATGTGGATATCTATAAGCACACCGACTTTAGCTACTCAACTACACTGATTTGAGATAGTAGACAAATGAAGTTAAGGATACATATCCTTTGGCTGCTCTTAAGTCTTATCCATTTGCATTTTGCATATGTTATTGTGTATGTCCATTTGATAGGAATGTGTCAATGGAATGTCTTCTTGCTTCATCAGTTGGAAGTTGCATGAGATTTTGAGACTAGTACCCATAACAAGTTTAAAAATTAGACGCATCTCTGCATATTGCTGAGAAAAAAACTTGTTTGCTTATATAGTTCTTTTTTTTCCTTTTATTTGCTTTGTCGTGTGTGAAAAATAATTATCTATATTTCTGCACACACAATTTGCCATTCCAATCTTCAACTACCGAAGGTTCCAGATCTAATGTTGCTCTGATCATAGGATTTGCTCCAGAACTTTGGGTATAAAATATAAGAATCCAATAACTCAAATGCTACATAGAATCTTCTAGTCCATGATTAGATTGGAAAATCTGCTAGGGAGTAGGTTACAGAAACATACTGACATGTTTGCTAGAACTCTTCTTTAACTTCTGCTTCTCACTTGAATGCTTCCTCCTCTCATTGACCTCATCCTCTACAAGGATCAAAAAAATTTATTCAACAACTACAAGCTGAAAACTAAATAGATTAATATAAAAGCACAAACAGCATAGAAACTTAATAAGAGAACAAGTAGATTCTTCAAATATTGACATTGATGATTATAATCTTGCTGAAAGCTTAGTTGACTTATCAAAAACAACATTTGCAAGTCGGAACTATCATGACCCTGGACATGCCTATATTATGCATAAGCAGCATATCTTTTGGTGTTTGGATCTGTCAAGGGTGTTTCCACGGGTGCCTGATACTGAAGGATAACTTTCACACAGTAATTAAAAGAATACAGATCAAGTACTACAAGAAAGATAATGAATCGAACCCATACTGTCGGGTAGTTGAGATGATTCTTGAGTCGACCTCTGACAATTGTCAGGTCTGACTTAAACCATGAGATATGGAGGGTTCAAATGGTTGCAGGTGAAGACAGATTTTAGCCAATCTCTTCCTTGCTAAATATAGCTAATGAATTTTAGCCTTTATAAAAGTTGACAACTTGACATAACTTTTGTTAGTAAATTCAAAGAGATCCCGGCATTTACTTGGTGTAGAAGATCAAAAATAGGAAAATTCATGACTTTCAACACATTTTGGATACATATTTTTCCAACAACAGTTTAATTCCCATTTCCAATAATTTTGATGTGTTTTTGACTAGTACAGTTTCACGACTTTCAAATTACTCTGTAATAGATAATTTGTTAGTTGCGGACAGGGGTCATTTCCATATTGCTATACAACCATAATAAACTAGAGTACATTAATTACAAATACTTCATGTTTGAATGCAAAGATTATTATTCAGCGGTACTGTACCTGACTTATCATCATAGTGTGCAACAAATCCAGGTAACTATCAATAAGCTGCTAATGTGGCACATTCTTCACAACATATGCCAGCCAACGATGAACATACTGGCATGGTGTACTATAATGCACGATGGCATAGAATATGGGTGTTAAGCATGTGTCTATATTGGTTGATACTGAAGGACACAGATGCAATTTCTCTGCTTAGGTAATTTGTCATGTGACTGGGAATGTTCATGACAAGGTGCCACAACCATGCCACACATCATAAACAAAAACATGCTACAACTGACACAAGATTAACATGCTATATGTAGATCATTCTATTTTCTACAGATCTTCTGCTACATCAAAAGCTTATTCCTCCCTGCCTTTCATCTTTTTTCTCCTTAATTAGTATTGAAACATTGTCCCAGGTCATGGGAAAAGAGACACAGGAGTATGGATTGCATGCCAAAAGAATAGGCAAATTACTTCCAAGATAGTAACACATGATAGTCTAGAAGTTCCCAAAAAATGTGCGATTTTGTTCAATTACATTGTCAAAAAAGAAGCATGACATCAAACATTAATTACTAAATGTCAGGAGAAACATTAAGGAATTAGACATACATAGTTTAGCTTAGGGTGAACCATTAAATCACATCTGTGCATTCTAACGTTATTGTAAAAATTATAATGTAAGGAATAAGGATATTGTTGCAAAAGAGAAACATTATCAAGAATGAAAGAGCATTGGGATTTCCAAAGTTTTCACTAAAAAATTTGGAAGCATAGTCTAATAGAACTGGACCAGACCAACCAGTCAAATATGATAAACTGGGAACCAGACCTCTGGCCAATCTAGTTCAGTAATGGGTCATCGAGTTCAACTAATGACTGAAATACCTTCATTTATGATTTTCAGTTAATTACAATTGAGAACATGGCAGCCTTTTCAGTGTTAGGATGAAGGAGAACTCATCTGTCTCTCCCCTGATTGCCACCCTATCCCTCTCGCTCTCTTGCCGCTGCCCTCAGTGTTGCACTTTCTCATCATTTCCCTCTCTGCCTCTGCCCCCTTTTCTTCTTTTGCCATCAATGCCACTCATGTTCTGTTTTCCCCAAATTCACTGCATTAGAGTATATGATATCTTTCTCATCCTCTCCAAATCAAAAGCGAAAGGAAGGATCTACTGACAGAAAAAAATAAAGAGAAGGAAAGAAGGAAGACAGAAGGATCAAATGTGTGTGATCACAGTCCACCCTCTTAGCTTGGAACGCATAGAAACATTTCAAGAATTGTACTTCCAGATGATTTCAGGATCAGAAAAAATAAGTTAAGAACTTGAGAAATTTTTCAAGAAGAAGGTTTCAAGAATAGGGGAAATTAGCCAAACCCCTGAACTAACTTCTATTGCGTGCACTCATTTTTCCAGTTCACCCTCTCTTAGCTTTGAAACCCCTTAAAACGTTTCAAGAATTATACTTCCAGATTTTTCTTAATTTTGGTACCAGGAAAGAATAAGTTAAGAACAAGAGATTTCATCAAGAAGAAGGTTTCAATATTAGTGGAAATCTTGATCAAAGAGAAAGAACCGATACCAAATTGAACTATGTCTAGAAGGCTAGTCAAGTTCCCACAGCCAAACCCCTAACCTAGTTTCTAATTTGTGAGTGTTTTGGGTTCACCCTCTTTAAACTCAAGAACGCAATAAAACGTTTCAAGAATTGTACTTCCAGGGTTCTTTTTAATTTTGGTATCAGAAAAAATAACCTTAAGAACACAATATTTCTTCAGGGAGAAGGTTCCAATTTCAGGGAAATTCTGATAGAAGAGAAAGAACCCACAGCAAAACCCCAAACCTAATTATTATTCTGCTTGTGCCTCTGGTACGCACTAAAACATTTCAAGAATTGTAGTTCCGGAACACTTCCTGATCTTGGTATCAGACGAGCGAAGAACGCGAGAGTTACTCAAGAAGAAGGTTTCAGGAAAACTTATAAAAGAGAAAGAACCGATACCGAAGCCCATTTCGGTGGATAAAGATTGGGAGTACTGTCTGACAGCATCAATCGCCTCTTCCTCCATCGATTTGAGGTCGAGAGAAGAGAGATCATCCTCCTCCTCCTCCTCTATTTCCCAGTCCTCCTCTTCGTCCCATTCTTCCACGTCTTCTTCCTCGCCGGACACGCCGTCGAGCCGCCGCCGGAACGCGCACCGCCAGAAGAGTCTACCGCGAATGGGGCTCGAATTCGGAGAAGGAAATTGCAGAGAGGGGCATGCCGAAGGGTTTTTGCAAGGGACTGGACGGAAAAGGAACGAGCGAGAAGCAGAGACCGAGGGAGTCGCGGGAAGAAGACCGGCGAGCGAAAGCGACGCCATCGTCGTCGTCGGAGGGGGAGTCCAAGGAAAGAGGAAGCGGCGCGTTATCCGCTCGATGGGAAGCGGGAGGACAACAACGACCGGCGCCGACTCTTGATATAATGCTATTGTCCTTTTTCGCCTCACCGAAGTCTTGATATTTACAACGGAGTCCATCAGAAAAATACGAGGAATGAAATCATATTCCAAAAATACACAAAATAAAACAAATAAATAATATCTCATTTTCCAGATTCATTAACAACTCTCCATAATGTTGATTTTAACTATATTATGTTTTTCTACTCGGTTCGATAAGGTCTAAGTGGCACTAATTATGTTCTTATAAGAATAATATAGGTTGAATCATGTCGGTGTAAACAACTTTAAGCCGTGGCCTCAGGGCAACGCGGCTTGGTTTGGGTCCGGATGATGGGGGATCTTCCCGGGGCGGCCCTTGAGACCGCTGAGGTGGCCGATTGCGATGGTCCGATCGAGACAGAGTCGTCGTTTCCTCCAGGAGGGAACTCCTCGCTTGAGCGTTTAGTGGGAGGTCTCCGTCTTCGCACCTGTACACAGGTCGGGTCGGGGGAGCTCGGCCCGACCCCTCCGATCCGACGATTAAATTAGTGAATAATCGCAGGAGGTTTTTTATCTGTTGTGTTCTCCTCTCTCTTTTCCTCGGAGCGCGAGGGTTTTTATAGTGAGGGTTACCGTTGCCTGATGTGCCTGCCCGTAGAGAGCAAGATCGTATTTCTAGTAGCGTCTGACATCGATGTTGGCGTGGCGTGAGAGATCGAGCCTGAGCAAGGTGTTAATGTGCCTCGATCGGCGTTCCGGTCTGTGTTGACCAGGTGCTGTCATAGAGCCGTGAGGCGTCGTCTGGGACAGCTGACGTCACCCGAGTCTTATCGTCATTAGTACCCTCATCAAATCAAGTTAAAATATCTGTTAATCTTTACACACAAAAAAAATGAAAAATGATATATATTTTTTTAATTAAACATTAATGAAATATTAGTGCATACTATGTTCAATAGGTATGAGTTACCGTTTTCGCGCATGTGGTTGGATGCGTCGCGAGTGAAGGTGACATTACCGTCCCGGCGTTACCGACGGTGCCGCGGTTTCGGATTCCCACGCCTCCTTTTTCCGCTCTTTCCTTCTTTTTCCTTTTAAGAGAATGCCGCGTCGATTCGACGCAATTGCTTTGCATGCCCGCCCCATTTCCATATTGCGCTCCTTCACCAGTAGGTATCTGCCACTCCCTCTACCTAATCTTATCAGTAAACGCCATTCCCCCACCTCCTCTCACGTCTCTTATAACCTCCTCGCCTGCAGACTCGAACAAAGCGCCGAACTCCGACGTGCACCGGCGCCCATCATGAGATCCCCTCGTCGTCCTTGCTTTCTTGCCCTCCCTGTCCTCCTCCTCGTCCTCCTCGGCGCCGTCCTGCCCGCTCCCGCCGCCGCGTCTTCTGGCAAGGCTCTCGGCGGCTGGACGCCGATCAAGGACGTCAACGACCCCCACGTTCAAGAGATCGCCCAGTTCGCCGTCTCCGAGCACAACAAGCAGGCGAACGCCGCCCTCGCCCTTGGCAAGGTGGCGAAGGGCGAGACCCAGGTGGTGTCGGGGACGAACTACCGCCTCGTGCTGAGCGCGAGCGACGGGAGCGGCGCGTCGGCGAAGTATGAGGCTGTGGTGTGGGAGAAGCCGTGGGAGAAGTTCCGGCAGCTCACCTCCTTCAAGAAGCTGGTCAACAGCTAAATAATAAGCGCACCTACGAGTCGCCGTACTTGTGTCGTCGATCTTCTCCGATCAGTAAAGCCAATAAGATCTCGATCACTACGTCTCATGTTCTATTGCTCCTGTGATGTTGAATAGTGTGTGAGGGAGTAATATATCGTAAGAAATGTCTTCTGGTTCTCTTCTTCTCGGTGGATCTGTTCGAGATGGCTCTTCGTCTTGTGCTCCGCCATTAACTGCGATCCATAGTGCCCAGATGATGCTTGTGTTAATGCCTGTTAAAGTCGAGCAGTATGTAATCGAAATATCTGAGTTGGCCTCGAACTGCTTGTGGCTGTGGTCCTGAGGGAGACGCATCTTCCAGCCCGGAGATGTTTGTAGATGTGGGCTCACAGGCTTGACTGGTGGTTGCCCGTCGCTGTTGCGTATTCCACAATCTGCAGATGGTGGTTGCATTTATGCCCGCATGTTTGTTCTACTGCCACATTGAGTTAACCTGATAATTTTAATCCGCTCCGCGGTGCGCGGCATCAATCCGGTCGGATCGAACCCGGTTTGATGAAATTTGATTGAAAATAAGGCGAGATCCGAACATAATTATTGAGATTTGTTGGGCTTTGGCCTATTTCGGTGCAGGCCGGCCTTAACCCATTGCCACGTAGCAGCCAAATTGCTATCACTCATATGGACCGATGAGATGAGACGCTGAAACACCAGAACAGAACGCCCACGCGGCATCTGTTTCCAGCTGTACTCGGCGGCCGCGGACTGCACACTGTGACGCGCGCGCAGGCGGGCAGGATAAAATGGAGGCTGTTCGGCATCCGGGATCCTAACCGTCCCCTCCGGTCGCCCCGCGTCGGTCATCCGTCCAACCACAAACGCACCGTCTTCACCCCCATCCCCCAACACCCCCTTTTTGGCTACGCTACAAAGGAGAGAGAACGCGACAACGCTCGCCAACCGATCGATCGAAGCGGCCGTCCGCTCCGTTGATCTTCGACTTGGAGCAGTACGCGTTCTTTGCGATTCGGATTCGTTGCCCTTTTTCGAGGTCCATCGCGCTGCGTAGGATTCGTCGTCCATCGCCATGGTCTCGCTCGCCGATCCCTCCCGGAGTCCCTCCGCCTCCGCCGCCAGGATCCAGAGGTCGCTGGGCCGGTCCATGCGCACCATTCGCTCCAACTTGTTCCGGGATGACCCGCCCCCCGACACTCCACTGGCGGCGCGCTCCGCTGCTGTCTCGGAGAATTTGACGGACTCCGTCGTCGACTTCCAGCTCCGGGAGCTCGCCGTCGGGCCACTCTTGCCCCCCGATTCCAAGTCCGCCGCCTCTTCCGCCAACTCGATGGCCGAGCTTCTCGAGCTCTCGCGAGATTTCTCCAACTGCTCCAGCATCAGCTACGATATCTCCGGCGAGCTCCAACGGCTGGCGTCCATCCCCCCGACGAAGGCGCCGCTAAGCCCCGCGGTGCCCGGACCGGGCGACCTCGAGGCCCTCGGACTAGGGTTTGGCTCGTTATCATCGTCGTCCGAGGCACTCGAAAGCGCTTCGCTCGAGAGCGTGAAACCGGCTGTGAGGGCGTGCGTGGAGGGCATGGGGTCCTCATCGCCGGAGACTCAACTCGCGGCGGCGGCGGGGATACGGCTCTTGGCGAAGCACCGGTCGGACTTCAGAGCGCTTATCGGGGCGTCGGGGGCGATCCCTGCGCTGGTGCCGCTGCTAAAGAGCACCGACCCGGCGACCCAGGAAAGCGCGGTGACCGCGATGCTTAACATTTCGCTGGAGGAAGCCAACAAGGGGCCCATCACGGCGGCGGGAGCGATCAAGCCGTTGGTGTACGCGCTGCGGACGGGGACGGCGGTAACCAAGCAGAACGCGGCGTGCGCATTGCTCAGCCTGTCGACGATCGAGGAGAACCGGGCGACGATCGGGGCGTGCGGGGCGATCCCGCAGCTGGTGGCGCTGCTTATGGACGGCACGACCCGGGGGAAGAAGGACGCGCTGACGACGCTGTACAAGCTGTGCTCAACTCCGCGGAACAAGGAGCGGGCGGTGAGCGCGGGGGCGGTGCCGCTGCTGGTGGAGCTGGTGGGGGAGCGCTGCGGGGGCACAGCAGAAAAGGCGCTGGTGGTGCTCGGGACTCTGGCAGCGATACCGGAGGGAAGGGAGGCGATGGTGGAGGCCGGAGCGATCCCAGTACTCGTGGAGGCGATGGAGGCGGGACCGACGAGGGGGAAGGAGTTCGCCGTGCAGGCGCTGCTCCAGCTCTGCGCCGACAGCACCCGCAACCGAGGGCTCCTCATCCGCGAAGGCGCCATCCCGCCGCTAGTGGCGCTCTCATACTCCGGCTCCTCTCGGTCCAAGCACAAGGTAAGGAATCACCGGGCCTTGTTCTCGTCGAGTGCGCTCTTAGGAGATACTTCCTTTCCTAAAGCCATTTCTCCTCTGCAGGCGGAGATCCTCCTCGGGTACTTGCGGGAGCAGCAGCGGTAGGAAGGTGGGACTACGCCGGCCACGGCCACGGCCAGGTAACGTTCATTTGGTAGTTACAGCGAATATTACCAAGTTACCCTTTGTGTATGTGCATATGTATTCAGATATATTTATTTATTGTAATGTGCGAGTGTGAAGATGTATTTATGAGCGTGTTTAGTAAGTTAGATATGGCCCATGTAATTGAATGGACGAGCACTAAAATCTCAATCATTACATTCCAATTGCCACCATTACGAATTCCACTACAATTAAGAACAGAACGTGGGCACTAACACATCAATCTGAGTCATCATCATCACATGCACGATACAAAAACTCAATCACATCCAAACAATCACACGATCAACAGGGTATCTGATGGCGATGGCATTAAAATGATGATGATACAATTGGGCCGGTCCTGTGCTTCGAAATCACTAATCACGAATAATAATTGATAATAATGTGATAATAACAATAATTGATCTATAAATAGAAAAGATACTTCAGACTACTTTCCCTCCAAAAAAAAACCCTAAACCCCCAATTCTTCCCTCCCTTTTCCCCCGCCGCTTCAAATCCCCACGACTTCTCTCCCCACCAAAATCTTACTCAAAATCATGAACTCGATGCGCTCAATAATTATCATGGCGATGCGATCCCGCCTCTTCCCATTCCCCCCTTCCTTCCACTCCCCGCCTCCCCACCTCCTCCCCTTGATACAATCCTCCCCGTTACTCAGGTCCAGGGCTCAGCCGCCGCCCCTCTGCCTTGCTCGATCCCCATTCCGTTCCTCCAGTTCGTGCCCCGCCGTCGCCGTCCTCGGCGCCCACGATCCGCTGCTGATGGAGTCACGGTCGCCGTTCGGCGAGATTCACGTGATCCTGGGCCCCATGTTCGCCGGAAAGACCACCGCCCTCCTCCGCAGGATGCAGGACGAGGTGGACTGCGGAAGGTTTGGCTTCAAATTTTCGCTTTCCATCAACGGTCGTGTATTGTTCCTCTAAAACTTGCGCTTTTCTCCCCCTCCCGAAGCAGATCTGTGGCGATGGTTAAATCTGACAGGGATACAAGGTATGGATTGGATTCCGTGGTCACACACGATGGGATGAAAATGCCATGCTTTGCTCTTTCGGAGCTTTCGTCGTTCCGAGATAAATTAGGAACTGAAGCCTATGATAAGGTACAGAGAAGTTTATGCGCTTTGTTTTGCCAATAAAGTGCTTGGAAATATGTTTGTCAGTATCAATCTTCCAGCCATTACGGTCGAGTCACATATGAAGCTGACGCTGTTTATTTTGTGCAAGCTAAGTAAAATCATGTTGTCTAGGCTAATTAAAGTTGCTTCATGCAAAACTTTGAGCAGCTTAATTATCTGTCTCGTGATATGGGTTTTGCTCTTGTTATGTTTGACGAAATCCAGTACACATATATGTTTAACCCAGTGGACAATACTAGCGTGGTTACATGATTGTCTGGCTGATGGTCTGTCTTAAAAGTGCACTTATGAATTAGAATGTAATTGCCTAAAGAAACTACAAAGTACCTGTGTATATGAAGTAGACCAGCATCAATGCTGCAACAGTGAGGACTAGCAGTTGGTCCTCCTTGGTTTGCTGTTCTATGCTGATTTTTCTATTTTTGGTGGATTTTGTAATAAAAAACCATGGTTGTCTTTTTGAAAGATGATATATTGGAGTTGCTGTATGAAATATGATTCTTTTATAACTAATGATGAGTATCATTGTTTTCTTTCTCTATGTGCAAATGCAATCATTTTTAGTATTTGCTTAATGTTATGCTCATGTTGACATTTTTGTATAGCTTAAGGTTGTACCATTCTTTTGTCCATGTTTTTCACTTTTACAACACAACCTATTGCTCTCATTATATAGATGATGTTGGCAACTTTGGTAGCTACTGATTTCTATGAAGTTTTCTTTTTAGTGAACATATGTTTCTGCTATTTGAGTCTGCTGCATGTAATTTTGGCTGACTGCTGCAAGGTTGCATACACACACACACACACACACACACTTGTCTTCCTTTCCTTCCTTCATTCCTTCAATATTATTCACTAATCTGTCTAAAAATTTGTAGGATCCCTATATCTTAATTATTGATGTAAATCATGACAACATATTAAACCATTTAGATATGGACGAGCTAATGTTTACTTGATGTCTCTTTTTAAGAATGAGATTCTAAACACCATGCTGCTTGACTAGCTAGCAAGCATAATGATCTGGATTTCTTTGTACATGCATATATGTGGAATGACTGATCAAACACCATAGTGAAGGTCCTTATTGTACATGTCTAATTCTGTTGCTGATGCTGTGTCATGGTAGTTGAACGTGATAGGAATTGATGAAGCCCAATTCTTTGAAGATCTCTATGACTTCTGCTGCAATGCGGCAGATCATGATGGGAAGATTGTCGTCGTTGCAGGCCTGGATGGCGACTACTTAAGGTGATTTACCAACATTTACTAATGATGTTCCATGTCTCTTTAAAGAGGTTAGAAGAGCATGATGCGAATTGACCATTTCATTTACATGCTCTGATCTCGGTATAAACAATTTTCGATGTTCTAATAGTCTATACATCTCATGGGAGATTTGGCTGGATAATTGACAGAAAGAGTTTTGGCTCGGTGCTTGATATCGTTCCGCTAGCTGATTCTGTGACTAAGCTGACGGCATGGTGTGAGATTTGTGGTAGGCGGGCTTTCTTCACCCTCAGGAAGACCAATGAAACACTAACTGAGCTCATTGGTGGAGCTGATGTTTACATGCCTGTCTGTAGAGAGCACTATGTCGATGGGCAGGTTGCTATTGAAGCTACAAGGACTATATTGGCTGTCCGGAGTTCAACCCTGGCTCAAAGTGAAGTCATGTGAGTTGCTTAGATTTAGCAATCGCTATATGTATGGTTGGATTGTCAAGATTGTAACATCTCAAATTGCTGCTCAGTGCACACTACAACTGTGGCAGAATTTAAGGGTAGAAATAGTAACACCTATAAAAGTGTTAGCTTGCTCGATTTGATTTAATTCTTGTTGACCTTTTATCATACACCTTAACGCCACAAGCATTCGTGTTAGTGATCTCCAGCCAGAATAGCTAGGAAAATTCTTAAGACAGTTCGTAATAGTGAGTCCATGTTTCGGAGGTCACGCGACCGCGTGTCACGTGTATCTCGTGTGTCTTTGGTTGGGCTTCGCGTAGGGCTGTAACGGTGATTTCGGGGGATCACGAGCCAGCCGTCGATTTCAAAAATCCCGACAGTGGTATTTTGGTTATTTTAGGAGCGCAGCTAATTGATGATGCTTCCAAGTCAACCGCGTCACACTACTTAATGAGTAGCTGAAAAGTGATTTATTACCCAAACTACCCCTCGTGCCACCTACTAAATCCCAAGCCCATCGGCCCTTTCCGTTCGTTTCTTTGCTTTCTTTCTCTCTCGCTCTCTCTCTCTGCTCTTGACTCACTGTTGGATCCAGAAATGGTGGGGAATCCGGAGCTGTCTGACGGAGATCTCGGAGGCAGAGGGGCCGCGGGCGGTCCGCCGGCGCCGGAGATGCCGTTCGAGGGTTGTGGCGCCGGAAGCGGTGGATGGAAGGGGGAAGAGATGTCCGGGAGGGTGGGGAGGCCGGATCCTGGGGTTTCGGCTCTCGCCGGGGCGAACGGAGCGAGGTACAAGTCTATGCCGCCGGCTCGGCTCCCGATCACGCGGGCGCCTTGCCTTACGATTCCCCCGGGGTTTAGCCCCTCCGCGCTCCTCGAGTCTCCCGTCCTCCTCACCAACATGAAGGTGCGAGATCTCTGTACTTGCTTCGTCTCCTTTTTGCTTTGCTCCATCGATTTCTCTGCAGTTGTCGCATCTATCTGACGTGGTCGATACTCGGTTGCGAAATGAGGACGCTTTTCTCACCAGTTGCTTATTTCGTGAGCTTTTTGTTTGGTAGATCGAAAGACCTTTTTTTCGTTTCGGTATATAATTATTATTCCTCAAGTGTCCGAGATAGAAATTTTTGTACTAATCATCCAAAATTTCTTCATTCGTGGACATGGAAGTGTTCTGAATTTATGTGCATCGCGTAAGTAGGTCTGTAGTTAGTTTTAGTTCTATCGAGTTCAACAACTTACTCTTCAAGCGAGAGTGTCTCTTCTTTTTAATTGAATCTAGATCAAGTGAAGTTGGTAGAACCACATTATCCATGGCCTTTAAATAAATTCTTATTCTCACTTTATAAAGATTCTGTTTCTTCACCTTTATGCCGTTATCTGCGACATGAAATTATATAAAGACGCCATCTTTGTTGTTGGGCATCTGTCTTACTCTAAAAAATCTCCATGTGTCCCTATTCTGATGGACTTGTGCTTCCAAACCCATCTTTTTCCGAGTTTTTCAGTTTTTTTCTGCTTATAGGGATCAATTGTGGCATCAGAATATTAGTGCTACTCCTAAGAATTCTAGTTAAAGATTAGTGGTAAGCTGTAAGGTGAGTGCTTACTCTCATGCGTTTTTCTGGTGGCTATTAATAGGAATTAATTTTCAGTTTTAATTGACATAGTGATGCAGTTTTAGGTTTCTTTTACTCGAGCAGAAAAAAAAAAGTGATTATCACATTTATGATTCTGAGAGCTTCTTTTGGTTGACTTTAACCTGGATGCAATTTTCTAATTATCTTAAATGCAGTTTTGACTGCTTTATGTATGAAAAAGAGCTCTTAGGTTGATCCTGAGTCTGAACCAACTAGCCATATGGTATTGTGCCACTTTTCTTTCGAAATATCTTCTCAAATACCTAGCATTTATATTGTGTATTTGTGTTTCGTCGTGAAAATCTTTCTTTTGTTTTATTTGGATGAACAAGGTCTATGCTACTATTTTTGTTATTATTCATGCAGCAGAACATGGGGCATGAAGCTTGCATCTTTTGCTCTCTTTTTTAATGAATATCTCCCCGTATTTATGCTTCGAACATGAAGATATAATTATTGAATTTGTTTTTTTAACTTTTGCATTCTTTGGTGCAGGCGGAGCCTTCTCCAACTACTGGAACTCTCAATTTGTCCTCTGTTATAGATAAAACTGTTTGTTCGTACACGTTATCTTCTGCGAAGGATGCTTCAGATGTTAGTGCATATGATGGAGGGAATTCTGGAGATTTTGAGTTCAAACCCCATGTCCCAGCATCGTATAATCTAGGCCTATCTTCATTAAGATCTTTGGTAATTTCCAATCTTGTTTTAGGTAAATAGATAATGCATGTTGGTGCTATTTATTCTCTTTTTCTTTGACATTCTCACTTTGTGTCTGTGTGTAAATAACATCCTGTGAAGTGTGATTGCGAGTGTGAGAGAGGTAACAGTATAACCTAATTTTCTCGAGCCTATTTAAAATTGGTAAAGGCATCAATAACGATCACCATTCAGATGATTGGATTGAAATAAAATGACTGACTAGACAATAGCCGGTCTGGTCTTCACTACTTAATTAAATAGAAATAGAGATGTGAATAAAGAGAGCAATTCATCGGATCTTAGAGTATGCAAATTATATGAATAGCATAGAAGAGATTAAGAGATAATTTGTTTTGCACCTCGACTGTGCTTTTATTTTAACAAAAAAATGATGTTCTACAATGACTCCTCTAAGAAATTCACACCTAGAATTAATGGAATTGCTTAATGAGAATGTTAATTACACCCGCCTGATTTTCTTACATAATAACATGTCAAATATAAATGTGGTTTCACATTTTGCAGTTGCCTTGTTTTTCAATTAAAGAACCTGCTTTAGTTAATGCATATGAACCTGCCTACATTACATATGATCATTGGTTGTATTTTTCGTGACATAGTATATTGTTCATTATAGGGTTCTGTAGGCATAATCCAAGCAGTGCAAGAGCCTCCCGTGCAGAATCAAATTCGATCTCAAGATCGGAACTGCATTACCTGCAACAATGAATTAGCTCCATTGGCATCAGCTCCAAATTCAACTACCAAAGTATCCAATTTGCGATCTAGCCTACCGGCTGAAGCAGCTTCTGGTGATTTACAACTGACAAAATGTTCAGAGCAAAGCTCACAGATGTCTCAGTCTGATCCTAGTGAACCTACACCATCAAGTTTACTTGAAAAATCTGCAGAAGACGGTTATAACTGGCGAAAGTATGGCCAGAAACATGTTAAAGGTAGTGAATATCCTCGGAGCTATTACAAATGCACCCATCCCAACTGTGAGATGAAGAAGCAAATAGAACGTTCTCATGATGGACAGATCACTGGAATCATTTATATAGGTAAGCATGATCATCCTAAGCCACATCCTAATCGCCGTTTAGCAGCTGGTGCAATTCTCTCCTGCCAAGAAGAGGAGAAAACTGATAACTTTTCTTCTTTGATGAGTGCTGAAGGTAAGAGAGTTTCATGAATGGAAATCACCTCCTCTTCGATAATCTTTTACTTACCCTTCTTTCATACTGATGCCTAAAATTTCCAGATGAGTCAACAAGTGCACCTGGCCCCACATATCATCAGGCTGATCGTAATAGTACTACTGAGTTGTCTCCTGCATCGATCAGTGAAAATGATGTTAAAGTTGGTTGTGGGCAATCCGATAATTGTGATGAGGTTGCTGGAGATGCTGATCTGGAGTCAAAGCGCAGGTGCCCTTTTTTATTGCAAGAGTCCAAAGTCCACATGTAAGAGGCAATCATGTTAACTAATTACTTGATCTTGTAATATCTATAATCAGGAAGATAGAAATTAATAACAACGATGCTGCTTCGATTGGCAAACTGAACCATGAACCACGTGTCGTTGTGCAAACTTTGAGCGAAGTTGATATCTTGGATGATGGGTATCGTTGGCGGAAGTATGGGCAGAAAGTAGTTAAAGGGAATCCTAATCCAAGGTAAGGTTCATTTTAGATGCATTTTGGTTTTTCACTGACGATACTTCTTTTCTTGTCTGCATTTGTTTTGCTTTGCTTGTGACCCTTTGACAAATAGTTCAAGATATAAAAGAAAGCTATTACTGTTTTGCGGCACGATTCACGTGTGTTAATTTTTTGTTTCTGCTTTTGTGTTTGTTTATCCAGTCTCCTGATGTTTCTTTTAATGTTGGTTTATCTAGTCTCCTGCTGATGATTGGATATAAAACAGCTTTTCATAGTTCTTTGGAATATAGTGTCCTAGGTTTTTCAAGCTTACTATTTTTTTTTTATGTCTGGTCCTCTGTGGCAGTATGGTATTTCTGGTCCGAGACTCAGAGAGACTAGCGAGTTTCTATACTTCTTGTTCGAGTTCTTTGCAACTTTTCCTTTCTAATTTCCACATGAAACTGAGCACTTAATTGTCTTGGAATTTATATTTATCCTATTTAAGAAAGATAAACTACTTTATCTTAGTTTCATATTCTTTTGACTGTATAATTGTTAGTAGAAGAATGTTTAGATGGCTGCTAGGACGAAATATCTTGGAGGTAGTTAATGAAGGATGTCATCTCCAACCAATGTGTTAAAGCCTAGATGCTGGTGTTTCATTAAACTAGATTTTTTTAAGGGAGAGGAAGCATATAAAACCTTGTTCCTGTTACCTATTAGATTTCATTTGCAGAAGATGGCAATTGTTAATTTTGACTTGCACATAGGTTGGCCAGGTTGGGGGGGTGGGGTACCTGCTTTTTTGCAGTCTCTACATTTAGTTGTATCCTTTGTCTTTCTCAACAATGGTTTTTGATTTTCTGTCACAATTACATTCTGGTTAGTGGTTACCAAGGATTTCCATGCCAATTGGCATGATCTGACACATGATGTGCTTGGAAAGTATTGGAATATATTAATGCTAAGTCATGCTGGTGGTGTCCATTCTGACAGGCATAACGCATATAGGTTGTGGCAACACCTCCATGCCATGGAATGCAATCCAAGCATCTAGGCACAAGGCCTTGTTGAATGGCACAGGCATCATGCCAAGTTTTTTCTCGTCTGGCATGCTCCCATGTAAGCATATGGGCCCATGCCAGCAAGGCACACATGATTAGCACATGCAATCCTTGTTGCAACATGATATCCAAAACTGTAACTGTGATTCTTAAATATTGGGGCACTCATCAGTTAGTAGCCTATTTTCTTCAGTCTTCCACTGTCTTTTCATTAAATGTCAAAATATATCATAGACAAATCAACTCTTGAGTGGACATATAAATACACTCAAGATAGGTAATAGGGGAACAAGCTAATATATTATAAACAGTATACACCGTCGTAGCATTTGGATCATCTTGGATTGGTGTTGATTCTGATGATAAATCTTTAGTTATCAGTTTGTATATACAACATCCGCACAGTACTTGAACAGTCCAACTTACCATGATGTAGGTTAACATATGTGCTGTTCTTTGTTTCCTCGGGTACTATCCTTTTACTAATGTGTTACTAACTTATCTGAGACATATTATGATCTCTTACATACTGTTGGGCAATAAAAAGAAATGAACCTTAATGTGTTGTTTGATTTGCCTCTTGGCAGTCCTCGGTAGATTTTGACTTGCTTTACTGGTAGATCTATGGCATTTATTACTCTGTGCCTCGTTGATCTACAGGAGTTACTACAAGTGCACCAGTGCTGGCTGCCCTGTTAGGAAACATGTTGAGAGGGCATCGCATGATCCAAAGGCGGTAATTACCACATATGAGGGCAAGCATAATCATGATGTACCTGCAGCAAAGACTGCCAACCATGAGGCATCTGTATCAATGGTCACAGATGGTGACAATTCTCTGAGCATCCATGCTTCAGCTGCTCTGAATGGTATGATGAGGATGAGACACTTCACCCACCCCTTCATTCAAATGGAGAGCAACGCAATCAGCCTTGACCTTGGTGTTGGCATCAGCCCCGTTCAAAGTGAGATCACGAATGAAAAGCAGCAATGTTTGGAAAACTTCCAAATTCAGCACCACCAACCACAATGTGTTGATTCTGGTAACCTGGTGATTCAAACGACTCCATTGTCAAATTTCCATGGAAGTTCACACACTAGAATCTATCCGTCCGGAGAAGACAAGGGTGAGGGATTTACATTTAAGGCAACACCTATGTCATCTGATATGTACTATTCGGCCGCAGGAAATTTAGTGATGGGTCCATGAGAACTGCATGCAATTCAAGGTATCTTTAACGTTTTATGTCAAAATAAAGATTGTATGTTATTTTCTGGCAAACCATGTTCCACGATGACGTCTTTATTTGTCTACTACATTGCTATATCCTGCAAATATACACCACTGGATCTTCTTCTAAGCATTAAGCGAGCAGTTCTCGTTTGCTGTCAGATCTCTTAAGCTATGAATCGATATACCAAATTTTTTCAGAGGCAGGTCAGATAACTCCTTGCTAATGTATAAAATAACACTGGAAAATGGGGGAAGAATTAAGCAGCTCTTTCAAGCTCCCCCCAGCTGCTCTCTGAAGATATTTTTTTTTTTATTCATGTCATTTATGGATATTATCTTGATTTTGCTATTTCAAGAAGTTGAAAATATTAGTTTGTCTGTTGACCATGCATTGTGTTTACAAGATGCTTTCTTCGATGGTGCCTGATCCAGGAGCTTGGCAAACAAAATGATCTATTGATGAAACTGTGTTTGATGTTGTCTCCATAGGGTTCCTCTGAACCATAAGACAATGTTCTTGGATGTTGTTGCTTTGGTCTGCCTATTCTTGTCCTTTGACTAACTTTCAAGCTCAAACCTATTTTGAGAATTCACCTACATAGCAACATATTACTTCAGCATGGCCAAATGTTGCCTTTGTTCTTACAGCTTGTGACAGGGTAGCAGATGAAGAAGAAGGGAAATCAGCTGGAAAGGTACCATATATCTTCTTGCCGCCTAATTAAATGCCATAAATGTTACAGTTGATGTACATTTCATACAATCTCTGTCAAAATTGCCATATTCTATCAGATGAATACCGAGTTGGCAATTTCATTATGAGTAGATTATGAACAGTATATTGTGAATTTTATATAGCTTTTTATAATAAAAAAATTTATTATTCTTTTTTTATAGGTTTGTGGATTATTTGTCTCATATTATATTAGTGGAAGAAAATTTACATAACTATTATACTTCGAATCTTGCAAGCCTTTTGAAGTGTGCCTCCTCCTCGAGACACCCAAACAGTTGAAGCGACGTTGGGCGCACGGAGTCGCACCGTAACGCAACTTCCGATGTGGCATTTCCGCATTCGAATTGGACGTGGCGTTGATCACTAACGACTCGTGTGGCCCACACGAGCGAAACTTCTGGAATAATTGTTTTGAAGAATTATTATTTTATATATTTAGGTAATAAAATTATTTAGAAGTGAAAATAAATTTGAATTAGACATGAAATAGTCAATCTCATTCTCCTAAGAAAAAATTAGAAACTTTAATATCTTGCATGAGTGAGAGAACTAAGCCTTATTAAATAAAAATTATTTATTTAACTTAAAACTCAATATATATATATAATTGATAATTTAAAAGATAATAAAAATTAAAATTATATATATATTAATTATTATTTTTATAGAGGTAGGCAATAATAATATTATGATTGCCAATTAGTTAATTAAATGTGGGGTTACGCATTAAAGCGGGTGTTATTATTTTAGATACACATGACATGATTAAATGTGATGGGTATATAAACATTGGTGACGCGAGGATTTATTGTACAGCTCTCTGTCTCCCTATCTGCTCCTCCTCATTAATGCTCTCTTGCCTTGCAGCGGGATCGCAAGGACCGGTGGTGGTGGCTTCGCATGCAATAAAGCGAGCTTGTTTTGTTTGATGGAACATTTTGGGTGGTGGGTTTAGTAGATTGGTGTTGTGGTTTTGTTTAAGTTGGTGTGATCAAACTGATTTCGTCGTCATATCTTCGGAAAAAAGGTTGGATTTTTTTTTTATGAGGAGGCATCTCAAAGGAGTTATTTTGTTTCATTTTCGTGTGCTGCTGGTTCGGATTTTGTTGAGAGAGTTTTCTCTTGAAGGGGTTTTCTGATTGCATTCGTCGGGGTGGGAGTTTGGTTTCTGCAAAATCCCTCGTGTTCCTTCAATCTCCTTCCCCTTTGATTTGGTTTGCTGCTGTTTTGACGGAATTTTGTTGTGGGTTGTACATAAATCTTGGAGTTGTCTGCCAAAAGGGAGTGATTTGCTTTCGACTTTTGGCTTCTGTTGCATCGATTCCTAATTTTCAAGTTGTTTTTCTCTCTCTCGTCTTTTTTTTTTTTTGTCCCCCCCTTAATTTTTTTGTCACTCCCTTAATTTCCAAAAGGGAGTGATATGTTTCCAATAGCTTAGAGATTGTTCCCATCCACACCTTTTGGTCGCAATAAGCTACCGGTTAAGATTTAGCGCTGTTTGCAAGTCAATTTTTGTGGGGAAAAAAGGGAAATCATGCATTTCTATGGTAAATGGCTGCATTTTCCCCATCCATCCTTTTCCGGTTCTTCTTGTAGAATTCTAATGGTGATGGTGGTGGTGGTGATTGTGATATCAATTGCTTTCTCTTACAGTAATGTTGCTTTCTTTACTACAACTTGTTGTTTCGAGTGTTGGCGCATTCCACATTGAGTTTTAGTGTTCAGAGCTCTTTGAGAGGGTGGTGTTGTGTCACCGGAGCGGCTATTTTCTTATGGAGCTGTTCTTTGAAGACACTGTTCCTGCCTCCCATTTGTGTTAATTCGTATACCAACTATTCGCATGACCTTTTGATTCTCCTCTCTGATGTGTTCTGTGACAGAATTCCACAGATGGAGGTGGCCGACTTCACTAAGATCGTGATCCACAGAATCCAAAAGCTTGAACCCGAGAATGCTATGAAGCTCATTGGCTACCTTCTCTTGAAGTACACAGATCAAGAAATCATGGAATTTGCTTTTGGGCCTGACCATCAGATCCTTTCTCTGATAAGTGAAGCCAAAGCATATCTTAATTTGTCTCACAAGTCTAGCATTTCTAGTCCTATGCAGTCCCTCCTTGATCAGCAGCTCCACCATATGTCATCTTCTTCCCCGACCATTCCACTTCCTTTCCCTTCGCCGTCCAACTTTCGCGGCCCTGCTCCACCGCTGGACCCTCATCTACCATCTGATCAGATGCCAATTTCTCATAATTTAGGACTCCCACCTTCTTCATATGCTGATCTGATCGGAGGGCTTTATGACCAAGCTGAACTCCTGAGCTTGAAGAGCCAGTTGCATCATTTCCATAACAGCTACTTCCCCGAGGCTACGTTGGCTAGAGATTTGGGTTCGAGGACCAACATGAGGTTGCGCCCTGGGTGGTTGGAATCTCTGCCCAGAGCTTGCCATTACTATTACAAGGGCTACTGTAAGAATGGCTTCAACTGTCGGTTCTTCCATGGTCAGGCCATCCCCGATGGTTTCTCTGCTATACATAATCCAAATATGAATGAGTCTGGTAATGATGATCATGTTTTTGCACCCGAGTCTCTTCGAAAGTTAGAATTTGAGATCGCAGAGCTCTTGAAATCAAAGCAAGGGATGCCTGTTTCTATAGCCTCTTTGCCGACCATGTATCTTGAGAAGTATGGTAAAATGCTTCAGGCTGATGGATACCTAACAGAGAGCCAGCGTCACGGGAAGGGTGGCCTCAGCTTGACAAGGTTGCTCAGCCGATTGAATAACAGTATTCGGATTATTGACAGGTACTTCATTATTCTACGGGGCTGTTTTATTTTTTTCTCAGAGCTTGTGGTTCAATGTTTCCTGAAAAAGGGCCATCTGCAAATGCTTGGAAAGTAATAGGTTATTATGGTTCAAATGCAGACCGCATGGGCAGCATTCGGTTGTCCTTGCAGAAGATGCTCCCAAGTATATGGAGTACTGGAGTGAGAGAAATGATCACGGAGCAGTAATCGCTAGCTCCCATCAGATATATCTTACTTTCCCAGCTGAAAGCACATTTACCGAGGAAGATGTTTTTAATTATTTCAAGTAATTCATCGGTTCCCTTTCTCCTATTATTACAGGTTAAGTGCATATGTGTATATGCTCAAAGTTATCTTCCTTCGTAACAGTCAGTACGGTCCTGTGCATGATGTGAGGATTCCACGGCAAGAGAAGCGTATGTTTGGGTTCGTGAGTTTCCTCTATCCAGAGACTGTGAAAATAATTTTGGCAAAAGGACATCCCCATTATATCTGTGGTGCACGGGTTCTGGTTAAGCCATATAAGGAAAAATCAAAATTCGCAGACAAGTAAATGGATTCTCCTGCTCATCTTAATTATTTTATTTTTCTTCAGTTCATCATTTCTTGTGGGGGACATGCTCATCTTTTCCTCAGGCATATATCTTAATTGGGTAATTTTCAGATGTCATCTTTCCTGTTTATCTCTGTTCAGAGACGCTGTGAATTTCTGAATGAGGAAACATTAGCGCAAGCTTTTAGTGATATAGGGATACTAAGGATCCTTTCGAATTCTTTGGGATCTACAATTTTCGCATCAAATAAACACTGGCTTGATATTTTTATACAAAACCTACAAGTATTATATTGAAATTTGCGAAGGACATACTTCTTAATTGGATTGCTCCCTTTACTGCGGGCGCCCATAGTTGGCAATATTTTTGGCATATTTACTCTCCTTATGAAAAGATCTTGAATTGCCCAAGAATTCTCATGTTGACTACTTTGTTTGATGTCAAGAATTCTCATGTTGAATTGGATCCTCTTATCATGCGTGCGAAGAATATATGTATTTTTTTTCTTTTCCCTTGTAGCTAGCGCATAAAATTAGCAAGCATTTTGCTTCAATGATCGCAGCTGGAACAATTAGTAGTTGTCTCATTATGTGTGCCATCTCACTTGCAGAAAGTATGCCGAGAAAATGGGACCTCCTGTTTATTTCCCTTCCCAATGTTCTGCAACGGACCAGAACCCTGATACAAGTTAGTGCAATCACCAGATGGTTTGTTTTTCGTATTACACATCCATCGCATATAATCTTAACATATGTTTCGACGTAATGGCTCTGTATACATCGCAGTGCTCGGTATATCTGAAAGTGATGGATGTTTTCAAAGGCAGCTGTCTGGAGATTATGACCTTGCTATTGAACTTGAAAGAAGACGCCTGTTTGATCTGCAGCTCACCGCCAAGCAACCGAAACCACAATCATATTTCAACTATGGAATGGAAGAATTAAAAGTTCTCGATGGTAAATTAATATAGTACATTCCATTTCTAGTTTTTCTGGCATCATCTCAGATCGTTCTAATATTCTGATGTAAACTCAAAATCTTCAGTTGCAGATGATCTCGACCATCATTCGACCATTCCAAAGAGTGGCTTCGCGACTGACCACGTAGCGAGGCAGACATGTGACAATTACAACAACAGAAATAGGTAATCTGTAATCAAATAAGAGATCACATTTTGTTGACCATGATAGTTAATATATGATATGATATGATATAATAACTGCAATGCTAGCAGAATAGCACTTGCCATTTCATGTTTCTGTCGCTCTTAAAGCCTTACGACCTGCTATTAATTCCTTTTGCAGTGACCACATAGAACTTCCAGATAGTCCATTTGCTTCTCATCTTGGAAGCGGCGTTTCCTCAATCATATAGAGACTGACAACGACGATACGTAAATTTAGATCACACGCCCAGAGCTGCTTTTACATCTTTTTTTATCTTCTCAAGCATCGTCATCCGGAGGAAGCTCTTTACCGATCAGCATCAAAGGCAGAAGCTTCCACCAGAGGAAGATAACACATGTGATAGAAAGAAAAGCTACATTAAATAGGAATCAAATCATCAAAAGACAAGCATATATGATGTGATGCTCAGTAATAGATAACTGTAAGACGCTTAGTTAGTGCTCATACAATGTTGTTGACATTTTACATACTAAAATAGTTTGACCAAAAGTATGCTTTCTCTACATACAAAAGTCAAGTTGGATGGTCATTTGATCTGTAGATACAAAGTTCTTTTTAGTTCCCAAGTTCTCATTTGCGATTGCAATCATGCTTCGACGGTTATATGAATTTATTTTTATTATGTGTCAGCTTCACTTTGAACTGTGCAGGTTGTCATCTTTGTCTTTTCAAGCTCTTCAGCCACCATGATTGATGAATCCTTTGTGATCTCCAGAGCTCATTTATTCCCATGTATGCCCCACACAAAACATAGCTGGAAAGCAGTCCGTCCCAAAAGCAAAGCAAAACAAAGCAAACGAAACAGATGCAGTGTCGGGGAAGAATCACATCCAAGTCGGAATCCTTGGCCTCTCGATCGAGATCGAACGGTCGAGCAAGCCGACCATCCATGGTGGCCGTCTTCTACCTCCAGCTTTCGTCTTTGTCGGGCCCCGCCGCCCTCACCTCGGCTCTTCGCCGAAACGAGAGGCCGCGCCTTGTCCCCATTGCGGGCCCCACCGCGGCTTGCTCGGTGCCGTCGCCGTCGCCGTCGCCGTCTTTTCCGGATCACGTTCCGCCGAGACGACCCACGACGCCCGTCCATTGCCGATCGAGAGGATTAGGTTCGTTGTCTTCTTTCCGCCAATGTCGGATCGCGTGCAGGACCGCGGAGGCATTCATGGTGATGCACCACTCCTACCCACCTTCTCCTCCTCATCAGACCCTGCCGATGCCTACCGCACAACGACTGCTGCTCTGCGCCGTACATTTGATGATCTCAGCAACAGCACATGCTGGCTGACACGATCCGAGTTGGTCTCCGAGGTTGACTCACTGTCGACACAGATTTTTATTGACTAAATCTTGACTCCACGTGGACTTATTGCACACCGCCAATAGGGTTTCGAAACTGGGCTAATTAGCCCGGCCCAATCTACTGAAATAGGAGCCCAAGCCCAATTTGACCGGGCTATAATTGTGCTAATAATAATAATAATAATGTGTCGGGAGTCTAATTTGGTCTGCAGATATGGTTTGATAATAACTTGACCCTCTTTGATCATGCTTTAAGAACGACATCTCCATCATTTGATTCCAATCATGATCGATCGTTTTGGCCTAATTTAGCCTCTGCCACTGATGACTGAGGTGGATATTTGGATAAGCCGATATGCTCCGCGTACCGAGACTCTTACCCCTCGAGTTTATACCCGTCGGGCCCCACGTATCGGGTGTCTGAGCGTTGTGGTTGGGTATGTCGAAGATGGAGTATTTGGGGAAGAACGAATGGTTGGCCAAATCGTAACGGCCGTGACCCGTTCTGACGGAACGTGTTAAGGTCACCGGATGGCCACCTCATTCCAGCACCGCCCGTGCCCCCCCTGTAGCCGGTGGAACCGGTCACCTCCGGTGCTGGGACCTTCCGTAATGACCTAAATGCCCCTCCACGGTTGGAGGACGTGATGGGATATGGTCCCGTGATTTGGGATAGCTTTGTTGTCATTTTGGTCATTTGGGGCAGAAATCAAAAGGGATTGACCAAATTAGGGGCCGCGATTCACTGTGCGGGCGAAAACAGCCAGCCAACTGTACACCATAAACAAGTAGAGGGGGATAACAAAGAACGTAAATGTTAAAGAAAGGATTTGGGAATCGAGTCAGAGACTTCGGAGAGAAGGGAGAGAGAGAGAGAGAGAGAGAGAGAGTAGAGTCTCTTCTTCTGTCCATGATGGTATGACATGGAGGGAGGAGGTACATTTTCATTTCCATTACATTGTTCTCGAAGTTCATGCATTGTCCTCTGTTAGGGCATGTGGTGAAGATCGTGTTGTAGTGTCTACATTAACATGCTTTTTTACATGGTATTTGCTTTGCATTTGTGATACATAAACTGATTTTTTGTTTTGTTTTTGATTTCTTGTTCTTGAGGGTTGTTTGTTTGAAACACTGATTTACCTCATTTTCTAGTTTTGTTTTTAGAAAATGCTTTACATCTCTTTGATTCATATCATTAGAATGGTTCAGTTTGAATTTGAGATATTGGTATGAGATCTTCTTTGATTCATCTTTTGTTTCAAGTTTTTAAATTAGGGTTGGAATACAGACTGATTTTTATTTAGAGTTTATACCAATCATTCACAGTGCCATTATTCCTTCTCTTTCTGACAAAAATGTGTTCTTTTGCCATATCTATAGTTCTGATGATGTATTTTACAGCTCATTCTACATAATTTATGTACATTGTTGTCGGTAGAATTCTATAGTTTGCTATTTTTTTCCCTCTTATTACGTATTTCTAATCACAGAGACTAGATCCTATGATATGGATTTCTTTGAATTGGCCAAGATCATCTTTGGTAGAGTCCAAAAACTGGAACCAGAGAATGTTGTGAAGATACTGGGATGCATATTCTTGAAAGAGCCTCGTGGGCAAGAAATGGTTCAACTGGCATTCGGTCCCGATACCATGTTGCTCTCGAAGATAATCGATGCCAAGATCATGCTTGGCATGTTGTCATCCAAGAGCTGCGTGCCCGAAATGCAGATCGGTTCTTACCCTCCTCCTGGATCGCACACCTTTTCCTCTCCTGTGAATTTTCATGTTACACCAACTTTTTGGGATCCTCAGTTTGCTGCTGAGCATCATCCTCCATCCCATAACTTTGATTTTGTTCCACAAGCATATGCTGATTCGTTAGCTGATGAATTCCTGCTTCACAATCAGCCCCAAGCAGTGAAGCAACTGGATTCTACTAACCATATTGGCAATTATTACTACTCGGAAGCTTCATTGAGTGGCAGCATGGCTTCGAGGACTACCAGGAGATCACACAGCCTATCGGACTTACCTATCAAGGCTTGCCATTACTTCAACAAGGGTTACTGCAAACATGGATCGAACTGTAGGTACTCGCATGCTCAGTCGTTTCCAGATGGTTATTCTCATGTATTTAGCCCCAGCATGAATGACTACGTGAACGAGGACCACACCTTCATGCCTAAGTCGCTTGAGAGGCTGGAAATGGAGATCATAGAACTTCTGAGATCAAAGAGGGGAATGGCTGTGTCTACTGCCTCATTGCCTCTGCTGTACTCTGAGAAGTATGGAAAGAACATCCAGGCCGAGGGGTACCTCACGGAGAGCCAGCGACATGGGAAGACCGGTTTCAACTTGACAAAGCTGCTTTCTCACTTGAAGAAGAGCATCCGGCTAATCGAGAGGTACTAGAAATGGAACAACTCACTTTTGCTGGATTTCTTGGAGCCACCAATGAACATTGAGTTTTACTCCTGATGGTTGGCTTTATTCTGATTGCTTATTCGTCTGATATTTGTATTTCTGGATGACAGACCACACGGGCAACATTCAGTAATTCTAGCAGAAGATGCTCCGAGATATATGGAGTTCAGGAATGAGAGAAATGATTTAGCTTCAACAGTTTCTAGTTCTCACCAGATTTATCTTACATTCCCAGCTGAAAGCACATTTACCGAGGATGATGTTTCCAACTATTTCAAGTAATCAATTGTTTATATTGGACATTATAAATGGGTAAATATTTTTATCCTGTCGTCTAACACTCATTTTGCAGGCAATTTGGACAAGTGCGTGATGTTAGGATCCCTTGTCAAGACAAACGTATGTTTGGGTTTGTCAGCTTCGTCCATCCTGAGACCGTCAACGTGATTCTTATGAAGAGAAATCCCCATTACATATGTGGTGCCCGTGTTTTAGTCAAGCCATACAGGGAAAAATCAAAAGTTATCGACAGGTTAATTCCTATTTGTAGCATGCTTTGATTCTCTGATTGTGCAATGCCTTTGGTATTAAACATTGCCTTTCAAAACTGATAAATTTATTTTGTTTGTCATTGTTTACATTTTTGCTAACTTTTATCGCAGCAAGATCTACTGCTCGAATTTGCCTGTTTGCCACACATGATCTTATAGATCAAGAAAATTCTATGATATAATAGGTCATGTGTTAGCAAATGAAACATATGACTACTGTTTTTGTAAGGAACTTTAACTGAAGTATTCATTTAACCAAACAAAGACATATTTGTTTTATTGAGGAAACTATGATTTTAGCATTCTTCTATATGAGACTCTTTTAGTCCAACAACTACATAAAAGACATTTACTCTTGATTAGCTGATCTTTACAGATTTCTCTTGTATTTTGTTATGCATTGGTGGTGTTTGTCTTCTCAATCATGTGCCTTTAGCTATGTAGAGGAATTCGTAGTACGGTGACAAGTTCATTATTACAGGCCAATTTGCACTGCTACAAAAAAGCAAAAAAACATTATTACATCATGTTGATTTCCTAAAAGGGGATTCAGGAATGTTGCTACGATTTGAGGGGGAGAAAAAAAAATGTGACTTGAAATGTTGCTACCAAAATGGCGAGTGAGACAAAAGGAGAGACGAAGAGCGTTTTTTACATCATGTTGATTTCCTAAACGGGGATTCAGGAACATTATTAGCTTAGCTTAGAAATGGCAATGTGTTCCGCTTTATGTTTGTTCTACTGCTATGTACCTAAAAGTTAGTTCAGTGATGTCACTTGATTGATTGTGAACAACATTAAGAGGAACATTATTAGCTTTAGCTTGGACATAGCAATGTGTTCCACTTTATGTTTGTGCTACCGCTATGTACCTAAAAGTTAGTACATCATTAAGAGGAACTTTGGTTTGGTGATCAAAGTTTCCGTTAATTTATTTTGATCCTGCATAAGCTTGAATTTGTACATTTCATCGCATTTAAAAAGCCGCTTCTAACAGTTTGGACTACATATATAGCTTAGATAATCTGCTTATAATAAAATTGCTTCAGACCATATATTCTTCCTTTCATTGACCTCTATATCTATGATTGAATCATGTTTTGTGATGCAGAATGTACTCAGACAAAATAAAGCCACATTACCCTTCTCGTTATCTCGATGTAGATCATGATGTTCATTCTGGTGAGTAGGACTTGCAATATTTAATTAATGCAATTTTTTTTTCCTGCTAAGATATTGATGTTTGGTCCTTCCAACTGCATTACCAATTATCCAGTGCCTCGAGAATCTGATACGTCAAGCTTACTTGGAAATCATCTGATTGAGAAGGAAATGATGGAACATCTCTCTGGATTGAACCTGGCACCTAAGACACTAACCCAGCATGATTACTTGGGTCATGGAGTGGAAGACTTGAAGGTTTCTGAAGGTATGACACAACCCTTATATTGATTGACAAAATATTCTAATTTTTGTTTTCATCACTAGCTAACATCTATTTATCTGATTGTCCATTATTGTCAGGTCCTAGTAATTTATTTCTAGATCACTTCAGCTATTCATTTGATGCTATGAATAATGGCTCCACAAGTTATGACAAAGCTAGGCAAACAAGCAACTCATTTGGTGACCAGGAAAAGTAAGTGAGATATTATTCCTATGGAACAACATTATCATCTAGTCTTGTCTTGTAATTGCAATACTCTCATATGCAGTTTTTTCAATTATAAGTAACTGATAAAAATGATTGAATAATGGACAGTTGTTTGCTACAGTATCAAGAATTATTATCCTACTTCAAAACAATTAAAGTAAGATTTTTTTTACACAATTAAAGCTTCTGCAATTTGCTAGCATTCTTCTTCTTAGATAATCTTTATTATGGAAAAGATCACTACATTATTATTTTAGTAGTCAACTGCATTTAGACAAATTCCTTTTCGGTCGACATACTTGTTAAGATGTCTCATATGATTTTTCTATGGTGTATGCAGTGGCCATGTTGAACTCCCAGAGAGCCCTTTTGCATCTCCATCAGTAGGAAGCAGCATATCTACAGTCATATGAAATACTCTGAAGACTCCATTTAAAAATTGGATACATCGGTTGACTAATCAATGGAAGTTCCATGAGCTCTATACCCAACGACTAAGAGACAAGTGCTTCTCCATTTGTTACTTGGGAAGCCTAGGAAGGCACAGCTACACGTTTCAAGGCAGCACCACACTTGTCATTGTACATACTTAAGCAAAATTTCTGTTTCTTAGAAGAGAACGGCTAACTTATCATATAGATGAAAGACAAGGAGTATCAAAGTTAGAAGAAACAAAGCTAAAATATGATACATGAGATGGCATACAGCATACATCACTAATTGCTAATTTCAGTGGCTATTTGAGGTCATGGCTTGTTTGTCCTGATGAAAGAAGGGGATCATAAGATGTGACATTTCTAGTGGTTTGTGGTAAACAAATGAAGCTGAAGTCCTCTGAATGTGAATAACTTTTAGGATATCTATCTATAATATTGCACATGATATTGCAAAGAACAGTAGCTGCTGCTGCCGTTATTGAGATCTCTATTTTTCTTTGTCCTTTGGAATTGTGATATCCATTGAATTTGCAACAACAAAGTAGTTAGTAAAAATATAATTTGCCTTTCATTTTGGCCCCATCTAAATACGACAGTTATATCCACTGTATTCTTGATCTCTCCTAACATCTGAATAGATAGCAGCATTTTTTGTTTGTGCATGTAACACATTGTTAGCATGCAGCTATCCTTATCATTCTCATGAATCGAGGAACCCAATCAAATCCTCCTTTTGCAGATGAACATAAAAGCTAGAGCATATCCAGCCTCATCCATATAACCTTTACGAGAGGATGATATGAGAGACTTTTCACTAAAACGGTCCCAAGAAAAAGCATCCACTACTACTTATATTAGACATGTACTGACCTAAATGCTCATGGGACTCACCTGACCTGATCTTGTTCAACATGAGAAATCTCACCAAGGCTGGTTTAAGCTGGTAGCCTTCCATCTTTGTCCTATGAGAAGAAAATTATGACCTGACAACTCTTGCAGGATCTTAATTTCAATTCGTCAGTGATCTCATGTCAGTATAACTTGGGACAGTAAAAACCATGTAAAACATGGAGGCGTATCTATTCTTTATAGCATACCGGTGATGGAGATAATACAAGAGAAAGCTTCAAGTGTTGCAATCTTACAAATGTACTAATCATCATTCATCTTTGAGATTAAACAAGTGCAAACCTCTTTAAGAAGATTAATCCCATCAGTTCAGAACTCAACTTGGCAGCTTCGATAACCTGTGCAGATTAGTTTATCATCTGTACTAATCATCATTCATCTTTGAGATTAAAAAACAAGTGCAAACCTCTTTACGAAGATTAATCCCATCAGTTCAGAACTCAACTTGGCAGCTACAATAACCTGTTCAGATTAGTTTATCATTTGTACTAATCATCATTCATCTTTGAGATCAAACAACAAGTGCAAACCTCTTTAAGAAGATTAATCCCATCAGTTCAGAACTCAACTTGGCAGCTACAATAATCTGTTCAGATTAGTTTATCATCTGCCCTTGAAACTATTGTTCAGAGGATCATCAAATATACCCATCTTTAAATTAACTAAACTGGTTAAAAGCTCCAGTTGCAACCCCATGCTCATTTCCAGATAAGTACCGAAAACCTCTGGAACATAAACCTAAAACCATGGTGCCTACCGACCGCAGGTTGATCAACAAAAAGATTGGACAAGAATGGCCTACTTTCAAGGTTTTAGTAAGAAAATCCTTGAATTCAATATAGTAGTATAATTGAAATCAGTAAATATAAAGGAGTAAGATGGCAAACCAGAAGTTAGTATAATAAATTTTATTGATACACTTGACCACAATCTTGTTGTCATACCATAAAACAAAATTTTACAGTAACAGTTTATCCGATTTCTGTGAGAATTTTAGATGAGTATGGTTGGCCATGGAAGCACAATATCATAATATATACTGAACAAAAGCACTGAAGAAATGTCTCCAAACAACCGGGATGCCGGCTTACACCTTCCCACAACAAACTTGCAGCAACAAGAACCAAAGTGCACTCAGCTCTAAAGAAGATGCAAGCAAACTGTGGATGCGTAAGCCTGAAAAGAGATAGGAAATTGTTAAAGCCATATAGAGTATATTCATACATGCCTATATTTCAAGCTGCTAGACTAAGATTGCAATCTGCAAATAAAATTGTTTTTGATGATCTAAGATTGATAAAAGGAATAGCTGACCTCATCATTTTTCTCTCATTGAAATAACTAATTCACCTTCAAGATATCTATACATAAACATATAACGTCAATGAAATAACTCCTACTGCATGCAGCTCAAGCCAATGGTAGCCATATGCCCGGTACATGATCAGAATCAGCTTCTGCAAAGAGACTGCATTTTCAGACCTGCAACACAGGATATATAGACAAAAAGACAAAGGAGACAAAGGTCCAGATCAACTTACAATAAGACAGTTCATCCTGAATAGCTCCAATGACCTTATACTTAGAAAGCTGATCATGCATTTATACGTGTCTTTCAAAACTTGACCTAGTAGCTTTTGTATTGACTCGAGTAAAAAGTGAATTATACTTTTCTTTGATACTTCTTAGCAAAGTCAGTCAGTTGTAAACTCTGTCTAAATGCCAAATACTTCTCTAAACTAGTTCCCGCCCACTGTTGACAAAAGCATTCATCAGAAGGAACCAATGAACTCAAAGGAAATGGGCCTTTTGGAGCTTTCTTCAAAGAAACTAAAAATCGATGACGGGGACGAATTCTCTGCTCAAGGGACAAGCTCAAGTACATAGGATATTTTGTCAAGGACTTCACTTCATTCCGTAGTTCATTAACTAGATACAGATATTTAGGCTTCAGGTTCCTCTCCAATGACAAAGATAATACCTGAAAAGAAGAAGCTGGATAATCAATCTCCATTAATAGATTCTCAACAGAAATAGATGAAAATTACTGTTAATATTAACCTGAGCAAGGCTTGTTAACACTTTCAGAATATCAGAATTACACATGCCGATGCTCCTGAGAAAGTTTATTCTAGGCAATATTCCATCCTCAATACTGTAATGGAGGAGTTGTGGATGCTTGGTGACCATCTTGACTATGCTATCCTTAGGAGCCCCTAATTCTTTCGACAGAAAAGAGAAGCGTGAAGTCCATGAATTGTCAATCCGCTGGACAAGAACCTGGGGGCTCAACTGCACAACTTTGCTGATATCACTTGTCTTGATACCAACCTCTTCAACCAAATACCTGACTGTTGGCTTCAATGAGTGCTCGATACTATAAGAGAACAAAGATGGGGCTGCTGTTATAATCTGCCCTATACGAGAGTGAGGAACTCCTATACTAACCAAAAAAGCAACATGGGACTTGAGATTGTTCTCAACAGTGTACTCCAGAATTTGAGGCTGCCTCATAAGTATCCTTTTGATATCTTTGTGTTTGACACCAACACTCAACAAGAACTCCAACCTTTCTTGAGCAGAAGACAAATTTATCTGAAGGCAAGGCATATGTCTCTCATAGATGGAAATTAAATGAGAATCTTTCAAACCAAAAGTGCTCAAGTACTCAATTAGGGGGAACCACTTCTCATCAAAATCTATTTCTTCTGCTAGTTTCTGAAATTTGCTCTTTGCAAAGTTACTATTCTTCTGCTGCAAGGATGGATACTTATTAGACTCTTTTGTCACCATTAACTAAGGGCATGTTAAAATAATCACAGATTAATTAGAGAATTAACCAGAAAAGTAAATAAACCTTTGCATTCTCCAAATCAACATGCTCCATTTCGTAAGATCTACCTAAGTTGTATTGATGATCTATTTTCTTTGAGATGATTTCCCCATCAACCTTCAGCGAACCATTTGAAAGCCTGAAGCTTTGTGCACTTTCTAACAATCTGTTTTGCCGTCCTTTTCTCAGTACCTGATGTTGTCCTGCAGAATCAATATAAGTAGTAGCTGCAAGATCTTCTGGTCAAACCTGCTATACACTTTTGGCAGTACCTGGCTTTCTATTTGGTTCAGTTGAGTAAATCTTTGACAATTTTCTATCAGAGAATTGATCTTCAACATCTGAAAGATCATCCTGAAAAATTGAACAGTATAATTAAGAGAAAGAATCATATATCATCTATGTAAATAGACAATCCTTAAGACAAAAAAAAGTATATGGAAGTGATTATGGTAATGTAAAACCAATGACTGCCTGACAATGACTATGAGCTGATCTGAAAGTCTGATCCTGCTACAAGCATTAAAATAAAGTTTCCAACGCCAATTCTAGAATAGGAGACATAGTAGTATCCTATCCAACTGAATACCATCACAAAGATATCTTGTCAGTGATAAGGGCATAGGGCACGTAGGCGCACAACCATCTCTTTGCACCGGCTAAAGTGTTTCTGTGGATATTGGTTTTTCCAAGTGCATGCAGGAAGAAAGTTGACATCTTAGTACTCCCAACAATGTCAAAGAGATAATAATGCAGACAATCATGGATGATGACCATAGTTTAAATACAACAACCCTTAATATCCCAACCGGGGTTCTCAATTTCGATGTGTACCACCCAATACAGGTGGTACATACCCGTCCGAGAGCTTCTCGGCACGCAGACGATCAGCTACTAGGCGGTAACAAAGTTTTGACCCCATATCAGGTGATATGGAGCTGTATCGGGTGGTAACGGTCGAAATCCGACCATTACCGTCTTACCGACTTGTATCGAGTTTCAAACGTTCAATTTGACCGTTGGAGGCAACCTAAAGGGTTTTAAAACCCTTGTCTCCCAACTCTTTCAATTCATTTCACTCTCACAATCTCTTAAACTCTCTCAAACTCTTTTTCACTCACAATCTCGCTCTTATTCTCACAATTTCACTCTCCTAAATTCAACAAAATAACGATTTATAGATAATTCAATATTATGGAAGGATGATCCGAAACAGACCGAAATTGTAAACCTTGCACATGGCTACTCCTCAAAGCCCCAAAAAAATATGTGGCACCATTTATACCCAGTGATTTAAAAAGGCGCTCACCTCGCCCCAAGCACCTCGCTAATCTCCCAGGTGGCGCGCTTCAAACAGGCGCCGTCTAGGCGCTCGCCCGAGCCCAGGCGTTGGGCGCTTCGGGCGAGCGCCTAGGTTAACCAAGGCGACCGAACCAGGATTTTAGGCCTGGTTCGGTCCTGGTTCGATCTCTGATGGTTAGTTGGTTCAATCGAACCAACTAAAATCGATATAAGTGAGAACCCAACCCTAACCCTCGTCGCTACCGCTGCCGCTGCCGCTCCCGATCCCGATCTCGCTGCTCGCAAACGCTTCCGTTGTCGCCGCTGTCGCTACTCGCAAACGCTGCCTCTGTCGCCGCTCGCACCTCCCACTGCTCGCCGCTCCTGCTCCTGCTACCGCTGCTTGCCACTGTCGCTGCTCACAAACGCTGCCTTTGTCGCCGCTCGCGCCTCCCGCTGTCGCTGCTCGCAAACGCTGCCTCTGTCGCCACTCGCGCCTCCCGCCGCTCGCCGCTGCTTCCTCTTTTCTCAGTCAGCAAGCTTATACTGTTAATATTAAGTTTATTTGAAATGATTAATTTTCAATACTGTTAATAGATTAATAATATATTATTTTGATTTTAAAACTTTTTGTTAATATGACATTGTGATTTTGTATCTTAGATTTTCTTAATTTAATAGCATATTTTTATTTAAAATTTTAAATAATTATATTTATTTATTATATTATATATTTTTATATTTTAGCGTCTCGCTTCGCTCGAACGAGCGCCTAGCGCCTCAGGCGTTTTTGGACCTTGGCGCCTAACGCTTTTTAAATCACTGTTTTTACCTAATTTACATTATTTTTGCTAAAACTATACTAATGTATATTTATTTATAACTTAAAAAACCTTATCCTAACTTTTTTTTATTTTTTAAATATTTTTGGAGGATTTTCAGCTCATTTTAGGCATACCATGGGTATGCCTTGGTACGTACTGTGCCGAGCAAGACTCGGTACGTCGGTACAGACCGAAATTACGAACCTTGGTCCTAACTATTTGGGGTTAAATACATAACTCTTTTTCCTACCGCTGAGATTGCTTGTCATAATAAGAATGACATAATTGTATCGAGTTAGATCCAAAATGTCATAGATTTTGTACAAATTACACAAAACAAATATTTAACATAATAGTAAATGTGGAATATAAGAGGGAAAATAAAAATAAGATGGCGCAAATATGCAATAAGGGGTCTGTGAGAAGTGACTGGTTTGAAAGGAACATATAAAGATTATCCTTATCTAGAAAAGGGAACTAAAATTTATCAGATTGTACAGTGACTAAGTTTTCAGGATTTCCTAGGATAATGAGTTTACCATCAAGGAACCATGGCACTGGCATGTACAATTTTACAAGAAGAGGTAAAGAAACTATTAGTGTTGATCTGGAATACAAAATCGATTGAATCAAGATATTCACAAGCTTTCCAAGGCAAACCACCATGAAAGACATTTACTATGTCATCGGTGTTGAGGCTGCTGGACCATGCTCACTAGAGATCAGGGATGACACCAAAGAAATAGTTCTAGAACTAGTCTTTTCTGAGTATATCGACTGCCAAAGATGGATATGGGCGGCCTTTTTTCCCAAAACACACAAGGAATCATGACAGTAATGAGCTGGACATTAACATTTCTGAAGCTTGTTTAGGAAGCCCTAAAATATTTTAAAGTTCTCCAGAATTCTTCAGCATTGTCGCATTGTTCTCTTCTCCATTCTTCTGACACAAATTATTGGCTTATGGCAAAGGCGAAACACCACCTCATCCAACATTTATCTGCAAAGATCTTCCTAAAACAATAATCATATATCGCGGGAATCCCTCCCGAACGACAAAGAACGGAAGCAACAAACCTCCAGAATGGCCCCCTTCTATCTCACTAGCAGCATAGCCATGATGCATGTGAATCCTTTTCCTGATTACTAGGAAACAAAAACCCTAGAAAATTTTAAGCATCAAACAGATTCGATTAGAAAGTGAGATTGAGCAAAGCCAAATTTCATAGCTAAGAGAATGGCTCATGTCATAGCACCAGATCATCACGAACTACTGTGCAATTTGATCGATCGCATGACAACCCAAAACGATCTTAGAGGACAATCAAACATGTAAATGTAAAGAAGGGGAGGAGCTCACTTCCCCTTCCTCGCTCTCGTCTTCGTCCTCCTCCTCATCGACATCTTTATCATTGTCTTCGTCATCGTATGGGGAGATCAGGCGGCCCGTCCGTGACCGGCGGGTGGATTTGAGGATGCGGGGGTTGGAGTGGGAGGAGAAGACGGCGAAACCGACGCCGGAGCGGCGGAAGCCAGCGGAGGGAGAAGGGAGGAGAGGAGAGGAGGAGGCGGAGAAGAAGAGAGGCGAGGATTTGGGTGGGAAGCATAGCATCGCCATTTCTGGAGACTTCTTATCCACATGAGAACAGAATATTCGCTGGCTGTTAGTATACATACTGCCCTGACGACGCCCTCCTGTGGTGTCGCCTTCAGCTCTCGAAGAAGCGCTCGAAACGAAACCACGTATTTTTTAGTGGGCATTTTATTGGGGTTATTTTTTTCAATTTAAACGAAAATAACTTTGGTCTTTTACTAAAATAATTTATCATATTTTAAAATAAAAAATAATCATTAGGATATGATTCTAAAATTATTAATATTTATTTTATTTTAAAAAAATTTATGATAATTAATTATTAAAATTAAAGATTTTTTTTAATAATATCTCATCTATCAGGTCATTTAAGTATAATATGAAGGCATTTTCATTCAAATTAAAAGAATACCTCTAAGTAAAAAATATTTCTTTATTTCATTCGAATTTGAATTTAAGTGTGTTTGATTTCCTAACTGAATCGTATTAACAATTAAAGATTTTCTCAATCTAATTTAAACGTTAAATATCTAAAAATATAATTATGATAGGATGATAAAATATAATAAGATTACGGTCCGTCGAGACGGTAATCTTCATAGAAATCTTGATGGTGTTCTTGATTTTGCGAATTGAATTTGAGCGGGAGTCACTGTGATGCGACAGGTAGGGTTTCTTTGCACGGAAGGGGGAGATGAGCAAGGGCCGGTCCACGGGGCCCTTGGATTTCTTCGTTTGGACCGTCGAGGTACCTTCCGATAGATCCTGCATCTCCTCCTATTGCGATGTGAATTTGATGTTGATTTGGTTGCTTGTTTCTTGCTGCTGAATCTGGATGATTGGTGCACTGTGTTGTGATTCCCAATTTGCAGATTGATTGTACTATGCCTTGTAATTCCATGGGAGTAGAGTAGTTTTGCCTATTAATAAAACCGATAATATTAGAATAAATAAATTTAGATATTTTACTTTCATAATTATAAGATGATAATATATAATTAGCCTGTTAACTCTCGTTCGTTTTGTGTACTATGTCAACACTGAACGCTACTCATCACTAGTTAAGTTCAATGCATCATGAGAGTCCTCTTTTAAGCTGGCCCGAGACAGAAATAGGTGGTGATCCTGGTTGCTATGATGCAGCTCCGGGGACCATCCGAAGCCAGCCTAGGGAACACCAAAGTGAGTAGAGTGGGGATGGGGATGCCTAGGAAGGACAGGCATGACAAAGATGGAGCAACATCAAGCGTCAATGGCCACCATCACGTCATCCCTTCCAATAACTCCCGGACAAAAGGAGTTCAGGCAGAGCTGCTCACCGAGCCCAATAATTATCCCCTTCTAAGCTCCGGTTTTGTCCCTAGCGGCGATTAGACCGCCAAAAGTACCGCCACCGGTGCACAGTGCAGTAATGTGATCGACTCATGCCTGGGGAAGGAGGGTGTCGTACCTGGAGCTTTATGGCGATCTGGATCGTTCGTGGCGTCGGCTGAACCTTTTCTTCTTCATCGGGTCCGCTACGGGGTTCAGATTCCCAGAGCTAAGCATATAGAACAAAGAACCTGAGGCAGAACAGTAGCCACAGTGATCTGATCCGGTGAGAAGTGGAAGCTCAGCAAAAAGGAGGATAAGAGGACAATCCATCACAGAACCTTTGATTCTCCTCCAAATGCTAACCTCCATGCATGTCTTTGGAGCTGCTCTCATACTTTAATCTCCCTTGCAAAAGTGGCTTTGGCCCTGCCCCCGTCCACCACCCCCCAACTTCTTCCCTCTTGGACTTTGCATCCCTCCCATGGATTCTCCTCTCCCCCTGCACATCATTGAGGACTGCACGACGTCATATCAGATATAAGCAAAAAAAAAAAAAAATGACAGCACCCATCTCCTATAAATGACTCTCTCTTCACTCGACCTGTTCCAAGCTGATTCATGGGGAGGAGGCACGGCAACCAACCAACCGTGACGCAGTCGTCCATCGCGCTGCTGCAAGAGCGATTCAGACAGCTACAGAGAGTGAAAGAGATGAGGGAAGAGAGGGAACAGCAGCAGTGTCGCCGACCCGTGTGGTTCATCCATCCCGATCTAATTCGTCCGTCCAGGCCTCTCCGTGGTCCTCCGCCCGGTTGGTTCGATGACCACAGCGATCGCTCGGGTTCGCAGTCCACCTCACCGTCAGTGAGCTCGTGGCTCGATCAGACCGCCGCACGCTTCCCGGTTTCCAGCAGCGAACCAGATGTCGACACCACTCTTCACCTGTAGTCATTGAAATGTCAGGTCCAACTTCCAGTTCTCCCCGTCATGGTCTTGCTGTTGTGGAGTGATGGCAGGACTCTCTTTCTTCTTTCATTCTATCACGTAAGAAGAGCAAAGAGCAATGTTAGTGCGATGTAAATACTAGGGACTGATACTAAGGAGATCCTATGCTTTCCAGCCTCATGATAGGAAACTTTCAATGTTTGTGTAACTCATAAATTTATGACAGAAAATTTATGAAAATTTAAGTTTAATAACAATGAAAGCCTCAAAGATAGCAGTCATACTGACTCAGACGTATTTCATCTATAACTCATGTACAATGTTAATGCATCTCTAAAACATTGTAATGCATTTATAACCAAATTGAGGTTTAAGAAAATGCTTTCTGGCATGAAGCTGTAACATGAAGGAGGTTCACCTTCCTCAAGAATAGATACTCGACTTACTAGAGACCTTGTTCACGTATTTGCCATTCAAGAATATAACACCGTATCAGAAGAATAACATGAAGCTAATAGATCGATATCAAGCTAATGATCTCTAGGAAAAATTAGCAAGTTTAGTCCTTAATGAAATACATCTGGTTTCACTATATAAATTAGGAATCAGATATTGAAGAGTAGAGGATATGAGTTAGAAGAAAAGGCAATAAGAGAGAGTGGGAAGCAGAGGAGGTGGCACCATACTGGAGACAGAATGACTCAGCCAGGCTTAAAATCTTAGTTTAACAAAATTCACAGACATCTCTAACAATGGACGATACCTCTACAACTTCTAAAAACAGAAAGAAGTGAGTTTACTATTTACTTTCTGTAGCAGTACTGTGGTGTGAATGGCACCAGATAATAGCTGAAGAAAAACTGACCCATAATAAGCCTAAGAACATCTTTCAGACCAAAAATGATTCAATTTAAAGCTCAGATAAGGACAAAAAGACTACTCAACCCTCAAACCAAACTGGTACTAATATTATCATATATCGTACTCAAAACAGCCCTCAAATGTTGCTGCATTATCCTTCTAACTTCACACATAACATGAAGCATCTCATTCGTCGACAAGGATTGAATTCATATGCAAATCACTATTACATTTTATACTAACATTAGGTATTAGGAAGAGCAAACATTATCAAGGTACTAAGATCGAAGTCTGAATTGACCGAAAGGTTAGTTCCATCAGAGCTTTACCTCATTAAGATAGAAGAACTTTTTGAAATTGTCACCAGAAAAATATTACTCAAAACTAATAACATCCTAATCAGAAATGGATTACAAGGACAGATACAATCTAATATTATCTAAATTCTCTAAAATATCAGTAACTTAGACAATGTTGCAATGTCAAAAACATCTCATAGGAACTTAACCTCTTCTTCAAGTGTGTGAGAATAGGCAAAAGCGTAAAACAACTTGTATTCAAGAACCATATATATATAGATACAGATATATAGAATGTGTGTCTGTGTGTGTGTGTGCTTTAATTTCTCGATGGTTGCTAGGTGTTCTGAATGAAAACAAAGGCACTAAAGGGAAAGATAACTTACCGATGAATTCTTCATTGTGACACTAAGAGAAATTTTGCAATCTGACCAAAAAATTTGAGCACCTTTAATAATCCATGTTGCTAAATTAGCAGTATGCTGTATTTCATGCAGAAGAGCTGCAGGCACCATTTGTCCTCAACTTCCAGTAAACAGAAGAGGTCTAACACAAGAATACAACATGTTCTAGAAGTTATTCACCATCAACTACCAATACATAATTTGTTTGAATTCTTTATTTGTTTATTGTACTAAATCCCAAAGTTCAGATGGCAAAAGGCAAACTTAGTCATTCTCATAGTTGAAATGTTAAAACAACAGTATCTGACTCCTCAAAGCTACCAATATAATGGTCAAATTCCATTGTCATTAAATATATGGGTCACTGAAGGACCACCTCTTGATAATATGGATGCCCTAGAGCAGATCCTAAAATTTAACATGATGAAAATATATATATATATATATATATTGCAGATTCCATAATGTTCATTGCCAGATGAAGATTACCTCTTTATGAGTTTGATCATATAAGATTTTTTTTTTGGATAAACATAAATATCAAATTCTATTATATGTTAGATCAACCTAATGTCAAGGTTCATGGCATGACTCTATTGATTGCATAATATTAGAAATAAACACATACTCCAGAGAATGTCAGTTCCATGACAGTATCTAGCTCTACAATAATATTAGTATATTCAATTTCAAACGGAAGTGTAGTCCCGTAATTACCATTACAATCTGATAAGAATTCTCTTGAACAACAACAGTCGATATTGGTCTGAAGGATCTTACCAATATAAAAAGAAATGACCATAATATAATTGGTATTGTTGTCTGATCTTCTTTACCAAATCAGCTTCTGGTGATCATGGCCATAACATAATTGACCAGTCAGCACATAACCAATGTTCCATTTCCACTATACCATGTTCACAAAGGCCATTTGGACAGCCAAAAAATGATGATTATTGAATCCAGCAAATAGACTATTGTTTCTACCAAAGCACTCTATCTAAATTTGTCATTTACCATTGCATTAGAGAAAGTATTGAGTCCAAGAACAAATCCATATGAGGCATTGGACAATCTAGATTAACTATCCACGAAGAATCATCAGAAAAATCAGGAATATGATAGATTACCAATTTTTGCTCCAAACCATGGCTCTTGAATCTGTTCCACAAGAACATGGCTTTCCAAGATCGATAAGAACGGCAACAGCCTTGTCGTAGCTTGATCTCAAGGGAATACAGCAGAAGAGTGTTCGTGAGATTGTATCAAGATCTTAAAGAAAGCCCTCTTGATTCGGAACATTTCTCCTGTCCAGTATCTCCAATCTATGAAGAAAGGAAATCATACAAACTAGATTTCTCAGGAGAGCGTTTAAAATAGAAACTACTCGTGCCAGAATAAATCAAACCCTACCTTTCATGAACAGAAAAACCCTGAACAAGGGAAGCCCTCGAAGGAGCAGAGTCAGAGGCAAGAACTCGGTTAGGTTGCCGCAAGAATGCAGCATGAGATGAAAATCACAGTATTCCATAATCAGATACCTTCCCCGCAAAGAAAGAACCATCAAGAGTGACATGCACGATTTCTTGCGTTTCGCCCATCAAAGAAAACGCATTGATACAGATCATCCTGATATAGATCCGCCTCGCAAAGGACACGCGATCGATCCTCCAACCTCAAAGAATCAAATGCGATTTGAATTTCTTGGTCGGAATCCACCATTTGAAAACGCCGCTTCTCATACAATGGATGCACGCAAGTTACGGACCTCGAGCACTTACAGATACTCTTGAGAAGCACCTCGAAGGCGCGCTGTCAGCAGTCGTGCGACAGACGATAGCATCCTCCAGGAGAAAAGGGCAGCGAGGGGGAGCTACTGTGATCGGATGAGAAATAACATGGAGGTATCCGATGGCATCTTGACCCACACCGCCATCGTCATGCTCCCATGGATGGTAGTACTACGCGGTCCTCCCTAAGTGCAAACCATTGGTGGATGCACCATACACTGCGGCGGAGACCACAAAACTTAACGCAGCGGTAAAGCCGCGAAACTTCAAGCTCTACGGCTGCGGCCAGCGATGGCGGAGCGAAGAGGAAGAAGAGAGGATAACTGTTGGAATTTTTTTTTCCCTCAAATTCTTAATTTAATATAGGTTTACTGTTTGTTGTTTTTGTTGTTATTATTAGTACGAATGTTTTTGAAAAAAGTCTTTATTTTTTTTTATATAATGCCTTAAGCTCAAAAAATTGTCCTCGTGATTATATGAAAAGATTATTTTATTTTTACTTACAACTGTAACGCCAATCTAATAACACTTTCGCTTGTGCTTAGCTACTCGATTTATCATACTTTACTAACTCATCAGTTTTTACTCGTCCATTGATACTTGATTGTCCTGACAATGCTCGTTAGGAGTTAGCAGGAAGAGCAACCCTACACGTAGTGAAAGAGACGATTAGCCCTTATGTAAAAGTTGTAGTGAAAGGGGATAACCATATGCACAAAGAAGAGAGGTGGTTAACCCTCACCCAAAGCTATAAATAGAATAAAATAACCCCTGACGAAAGAAGACAAATAGCCCTCACACGAGGGCTATAAGCAAAGGGGGTCGACGAGGCATCGTATGAAGGCTATAGACGATGGTAGGTCCTCACACGAGGGTTGCAAGCGACAAGAGTTGATAAATGAGGCTATCAGATGCAAGATAGAAGGATGAAAGGGGAAGACGAGGTCGGATGTGACAAAATGTGGTAACTAATGCGAGTAAAATAATCATTTCTAAAAAAAATACTATAAAAAATTTTCAAACTTGAGGTGCTTTGTTGGAAAAATCTAAAATGAGTTTTTTTTAAGGAATCACCATTATTTTTATATTATTGTTATTATTATTATTATATTATGATTACTTTTAGAAAATTCTCTTATTTTAGATTTTTTTTTTCAAAAAGTAACTTTTTTATTTTTTTTTTCAAACAATACTCTTAATTTAAAAAATACTCAAAATTTTTCTCATCAAATTTATTATTTTAACTGATATAGTGTCTTCGTTTGGCTTACGGTGTTTTCTAATATTATTTATTATGTTTTATTGACGTACCAAAAAAAATATAAAAATTACTAAAACTTACTTAAATAACATTGAATCGTATTTATTATTGATTATAGATCATTATAATATTATATTTTTAGGATTTTAGTTAACTTATTTGAGATTATGAGTCTATTTAAATTATTTATGATATTTTTAAGTAGACTTTATAGTGTCTTGTTGTGATAGCTAAAATATTATAACAAGTCAAAAACATTATTACAGATGAAAGTTTTTTGAAGGATAGTTTATGTATTTTTTAAATTAGAGGATTAAAAAAACCTAAAATAAGTATTTTCTAAGAAAATCATATATATATAATAATAATAATAACCTAAATCCATTATCAAGTAAAGGAAACATTAAATCCATATTAATATTTTAATTATTTAGATATTTGTATGTTGTTAATATGTGATCCATGGGTAGCATGTTGAACCGGTCCACGGTCTGCCATTTCCGGTTCGGACTCGGTCCGCAGAAGAAATTTTCCAAGGGTTGAACGGGTAACACTCCCTGTAGATGCTTCTAGAATCGGCGGACCTCTATATAAAATCCGATGAACGGAGGCGCGTTGTCCCCGCGATCCAAATATTGATCCGAAGACGCGAAGGCGTAGCGTCTCCGTCTCTCCCCTTTCGCCCCGTCCATCTCCACGCTCCCGAGTTTTCGGTCCCCTCCCCCGACGAAAAATGGTGAGGCATTGTCTTCCCCAAATCTAATTGGTTTTACGCTATCTGCGTAGATCTGTAATATTTCGATTGATAATTAAAACCTTGATTTTAGTTCCTCCTTTAGGATCGGTCGTGTGGAATTCGAATCTGCGATGCGGTAGTCGATGTCGATTTATGTTGAACTTTTAGATTTGTTCCTTTCTCGAATGAGTATTTTTAAACAAATTGGTGTTTGAGTTCGGCTGCGATAGAGTACGCGTCAGATCCATCACTAGGCGATCATCGGGACCTTGTTTGACGATGAGATCTAATTAGGAGACCAGGAGATCTACAAAGATGATCGGTGGATTCAACTATATGTTTGTGTTGAAGCTGTTTATGATGAATTTTTCATTGTGCGCATTGATGGCTCTATTATTGCTTTGGCCCTTAACATAGGGCTAGTCACTACACAAATCTCTCTGCGTGCTTGGTTGGGGAAAAAGTTGTAGAGGGGTTAGAAGCCTTTTAATTTATAGGTAATTATCATCAAAGTTTACTCCTGTAATGTGTATCTCGGTGGAGCGGGTTCCTGATGGAGCCAAGTTTACTCTCTGTTTGCATGCTTTGGTTGGTCTTATATTTTATCTAGTTGCCAATGGATGGACAACTGAGCGTGAAACGTAATCGATTTAGTGGATTATTATAATTGGATTGATGGAAGCAATTTGCAAAAGTAAATTTTGACTTAGATTTGGGATCTTATTTTTCAAAGATGAGTCGTTTGCTTAATTCTGTGACTGATCCACCTTCCAAAACACGGAGAGAAAAGAGAATTGACACATCATAACTTTGAATTGGAACACATTGTATCGTAGACTCCTAGTTGAAGAATCCAGTGCAATTGTTCTGTTCTATGGTAAGTGTAGGTTTCAAAGAGCTTGTTTATGTTGAGTAGGTTGCACTGGACATTACCTTCTATCTAATATGCTTAATGCTTTTCGAAGAGGCTTACATATTGCCAATTGGTGGTTGGGAAAATAACAAAATTACTTTGAGAATACGGTGTTAATGAACATAGTCTTTGTTTGCTGGGAATTGCCATGGATGCTTTAAAATGCTTGTTAAGTCAATGCATTCTATTCTATGTTGGACACTGATGCTGAATTGTTTCTCATTACATGTGGGCTATTTTCAGACTATATTACAGTACATTTGCTTCTTACACTTTCACATAATTTGTTTTTTTTTTCTCTGGTCAAATGACTAACAAATTCAGTGCAACTTCAAAATACAAATTATGTTTTGGAAGAACTTGATATTTTCTCTGGTCTTATAAGTTGCAGTGAGATATATTAGTCATGTGGAGGGCAATATTGTTCTAACTATTTCATGCTAGAATAATCATGGTATGATCGGCGGATCCGAAAGGGCCACTAGCCGGTGCTATCATAATCATTACTTACTTTTTCTCCTATTTCTGCTAGCGCTTAAAATTCTGGTGGCAGTTGTTATTTTGCTTTCATTTGTGTATATATGATGATCTGACTGTTTTCTACAGACTACTTCAAGGCGCCTTGCTGACAGAAAAATACAGAAATTCCAGAAGAATATTACAAAGAGGGGGTCAGTACCTGAGACAACAGTAAAGAAGGGAAATGACTATCCTGTTGGTCCTGTTGTGCTTGGGTTCTTCGTCTTTGTGGTCATCGGATCATGTATGTCATCCTAATCTGATCTAGTTGATGCTTTATTTTTTAACCTTTGCCTATAGCTACTGCTAATTAGAATTTTCATGCAGTTTAATCTATGTTGTTTTGCTTGTTTACTCTTCTATTTGACCTCCAAGATGACTGATTAGCATGAGATTAAAGTAGATAGAGAACAAAAGTAGACTAGTATATTCCTATATAGAAATTCTTGATACTTCTTAATTGCTTACTTGGTTTTTTCCATTGAAACTTATATCCTCTTTTTGTTGGCCCTTATTACATGGACTAATTATATATTATCCTTTGTAATCAATTATTTTTAGCATCACGATCCTTATATTTTTAAAAATTACAATCAGATCCTTGTACTTATGAAAATGAAATATTTAATCTTGTTTCTCTTTATGTCATCGACTATGTTGATAGAATTATCGTAGGGTTTACCATTTGACACATAATGACTCTGTCTCATTTCGGTTTATCACTAAGCATGTGTGACATTTTCATCAATAAAATCGACATTGTGAGAAAAAAATGAAATTAAATGTTTCACTTTCATAAATAAAAAGATCTTAATATGATTTTTAAAAATAGAACGATCGAAATACTAATGATAACTAAATACTAAATACACATCGGTAAGGTGCCTCACAGACTTCGCCAATATAAAACTTAGATCTCTCTTTTTCCGATGCTTGTGTTGTAAATGATGTTGCGGAAGCTAAGTTGTCGTGAAGCTTCTTGTACTGGGCAACTTTGTCAGCATTGTCTTATGTTTCACTAGGTGATTTTAAGCATTGCCAGCATTGTCTTGTGTTGTAAATTTACGTTGACGCTTAAATTTGTCCTGGTAGTATTGGCTTTCTCAGTATAGCATGATAAAGTCCAGTAAAGCAATAAAAGAAAGCCGTACGGCTGTCTTGGAATAGCAGGATGCTACTTCGTCGAATTGGCCCCATTTAATAGGAAGCTGCTTGAAATCTATTTGGTTGTTACAGTCCAATTCTTTATGAAATCCATTGACGATACAATTTGTTTTACTTTCTTTTTCTTGTATCTCTTTCGACAAATAAAACTTAAATAATTTCTCAAATTACTAAATCAGCAGAATTTTGCAACAGAAAGTATCCTTAATCACTTTGTTGAAGTAGAAAAACGTTGATCTTATCCTTTCAATCCAAATGGCAATGTTTTTCCCTTTTTCCCCCATTACTGAGTAGTAGCTAGTTGTATTTTTTAAACTAACTATTGTTCTGTCGATCAGAAATATTATAAATTTGAGCACCGTTGTGTCTACAATGCTGATATATTTCTTCTTTTGTTCGGTGGGTTGGCAGCTTTGTTTCAGATAATTAGGACGGCAACTAGTGGCGGGATGGCATGAAGCGTAGGGGACAAAGGAAGCCCTGCTCAAAGTATGTGATGGTTTAATTTTCTCGGAGACAAAAAAGAAGAAAGAAAATGTGTTATGAGATTGCCAAATCTTTAGTCTATAACACATATACAAAACATTTCTTGACGTCCTTGTCTTCCTTTAGTCCAACTGCTAATTCTGGGTCTATATTGAACTCCATTTTCTCATATATGACTTTTCTATCTTAATGATATGACCAAAGGGACCATCTTGTATTTGACCGGAGGGGAATCTATGCGAAACAGCTACGAGGTAACATCGCCACTGCCAATGATGAATTATGTTAATTTATCGAGACTAAACGTAAAATTTTCTCAGATTTCATGATCATGCATCCTAGTCCTCGATGTTGGTAAATAATTAAATGAGCCACTTTGATATGTTGTTAACGAGAGCTACGGTAGTCGTAAAAGGGTAATCGTAAATTTTTTTTTTATGAGCAGTTAAATAATGAAAAAAAAAAAGACAACCAAGCAAGTTAAGTTCCATATTGGGTAATGAAGTCTTCATGACAAGAATCTAAATATAAATTAACAAAAATATTACGTCCTTGTTCCAATAAATAAACATATCGATAGAGATCAGTGGTAGAAACAATACCGGCGGGCGGCTGCAGCGTTACATGAATGAAACACACCTTTGGGTGCTCCACGAGGGAAACGCCGACGTGCGTGTGTTCAGGACACATCGACGGGCTTGAAGAGGAAGAGCAGCGACGCCGACTGCTGCTGCTGCTGCTGCCTCCCGCCCAGCCGCTCGTAGCAGTCGATGGAGAAGAGCGAGAGGGAGAGCGACAGCGAGAGGGAGAGGTGGGCCCCGTCGGAGCCGGCGAGCCGGTCCAGTGCCGGCCCGATGCAGAGCCGGTAGAGCCGGCGGTACCCGCCGAGCGCGGCCACCACGGACCGGGTGGCCCCGCTTCCGCCGGCCGCGTGACGGTGGCAAACGTCCTCCCACACGCTGTCCCGGCGGCCGACGGCGCTCCAGAGGCGGCACACGCACCCTGCCACCGCCAGCGACCGCCCGTCGAGCCGCCCCAGTATCTCCGCCAGCAGGTCCACGTTGTCGTTGATAGAGAAGGCCGTCCGTCGCCTCCCCTTTTCCCCCTCCTCC